AGACTGTTATATCATACCTTATCAGACCCCATTAAGTGAGTTATTGACCCTGACTATTGGACTCCAACTCTTATTAAACCCAAGAGTTTGCCAGACACTTTGAATCTTTGGCTGTTGGCCACTTTTCCAAAGACTAAGAGCTCATGCCATGGCAGGGCCACACTGGCCTTTGAGCCAAGCCCCAAAGCCTTGCCAGGCAATACCAGCACTGCCCTTGTGTTCTCAGTGATCTCCACTGTGGCAGTCAAGCTAGTCTCTGGAAAACCACTCTTACAAGATACCTCAGCCTTTATTCAGAATGTAGACCCAAAAAAAAAAAGAAATGACAGGAATATAAAATGGGGGGAAGGTATCTGGGGATGAGAACCAGCAGAAGGGGGAAGGACAAAAGAGGGTTAATATGATCAAAGTACTTCATACGCATGTATGAAAATAATGACGCCCAACAAAAGTTGTTTTAAAAGGGAGGGATAAGAATAGTAATAGAGGGAGCAAATTTGGTCAAAGTATCTATTTTTTTAAGCTTTTAATTTATTCTACTTTTTAATTGTCATATTATTATTGTACTGGGGTACTTTGTGACAGTTACAAAAGTTCTTAAAATATATCATAGTTGAATTCAACCCCTTCACCATTCTCCTTTACCCCTCCCATTTCAATGCATGTATGGAAATATTGTAATGAAACCCCTTTGTACAATTAATATAAGCTAATAAAAAAGAGAAAAAAATGAGACTTTACTTTCCACAGAGGCCTGCTTCCATCCTAACTGAGCAACTACAGACTGTAATGATTGGAATTCACTCACTGTGTTGTTAATGCCCCTTCTGTATCAAATGCATTTGTGGGGTTTGTTCTCCTTACTCTTCCCCTCCAATTGATCGATCTCTGTATGGCAATAAACAGTGTGATTCGTGCAGTCACACTTTGATGCCCTACAAAACGAAGTGAGAGCTGTCTATAAATGCCTATTGCTGTCTCAACCATTCACAGAAGCCTTGTTAGTGTGCGGTACCTTGGGAAATGACATAGATGCATCAAGTCCATGCGGAGCTGCTGATGTGAAAAGGTGTAAATCACTTGAGGGCAGACAGGGAACACAAAACTAGCCAATGACAGAGTTGGGAAGGTGGCCAGGAGAAGCAAGAGCCTCCAAGGAATCCTTGGTTATTTTGGACCCATTTGGCTTCTACTTTAATGGGTGGAATGAAAGACCCGATTTATTCTATTTTAATTTTAAAGGAAAATATAATCCCTAACTCTGACTTTTGGGTGTGTCTCTCTTGCCTTTCATCTCTGACAAGACTTTCTGAGGCAAGTGGTAGATCTTATATAACCCAAACTGGTCTAGAACTCACATTCCTCCTGCTTCAGCCTCCTGGGTGCTGGGATTACAGGAATGAGCCACCACACACACCTGGTTTAAGACAAATTTTGTAAACACTCATTCAGAAAGCACTGAAGGGGGAACACATCCCAATTTCTCTAACCCCAAAACCTGACAAAGACACTTCAGAGACATAAAACTACAGATATCTTTCATGAACACTCAAAACTCTTCACCAAATTTTAACATATTGAACATATCCAACAAACTGTAGAAAGGCCAATGCCTCATGACCAAGTTGGATTTAGTCCAGAAATGCCCGCAAAAATCAATTACACACCACTCTAATAATAGAAAAAAAATCCATATAACTACCTCAGTACAGATAGAAAAGAAATTTGACCAAATTCAGCACTCACACATGCATGATGACTACCCTTAGCAAACAGGGAGTGCCCCTTCCCAGGCACTTGGCCAAACTAAGAAACATACAGCTAACCTCATACATAATGGCAAAAGACTGAATGACTTCATACTTCCAACAAGGCCAGGGTGTCTCATCCCTTCTGTGCAACATGGTGTTAGAAGGTATGAATTCACTTAATAGGGCAAAGGAAAATGTCACCGGGAAAACCAACCAAAATTTGTTACCACAAAGTCAACGCAGCTCGTACCTCTGCCAGAGAATTCAGGCAAGGCATAGAAATGTAGCTAAAGTGACAGTAAAGTTTACTAGGAAAGGAATACACTTTCAACACACTGAAAGCAGGTCATCTCTAGAGTGAAAAGGAGAACAATTATTTTTACCTGGGCACCAGTTATTATGGAAATAGAAGGGGCTCGGAGTGTTAAGCCCCTCCCTAAAACCAGCCCCTGAGGCCGACATCAAGATTAAGGTCAGGAGGCCTACAGCTTTACAAAGCACAAAAAAATTGGGTTCACCAGACCCATAGGGTATGGTTTTACAGCTCTGGGTTTTTGTTTTGTTAAGTAAAAGAGCTATTGTTTAAAGAACTGATGTTGACCCATCTTAGGGTCAAACATCTTTTGATGGGCTCTTTTGATCCTAACAAGGGGCTTTTAAGTGTTTGTCTTGCAGTCCTTAAAGAATCATCCATTTTAGGTTTCCTCTGCCTAACTTTAGTCACTCAAAGCTAGCGGCTACCTAACACAAAAGGCACACACAGACTGGAAAGGAAGCAGCAAAACTGTCTTATTTGTAGACTACAACATCAACTTCATAGAAGGCTCTAAGGGAGCTACAAAAAACTAGAACTACTAAATGAATATAGAAAGGTCTCAGGATTCATGGTCAATATATAAAAACTGGACTTCTATATACTCAACACAATCATAAGTTGAAATATGAAAAAAGTACCATTTGCAGTATCAAAAAATAAATACCTAAGGATGACCTAATAAATATGTATGATTATACTGAAAACTAGAAAATATTGTTGAAAGAAATTAATGCTCTAAGTTAATAGAGAGGAAGGGAAAGAGAGAGAGAGGCACACCATGTTCACCCAAAGCATATCAATTCTTCCTAAATTGATTTTTTTTTTTTTGAGTTGGGGTTTGCTATGTACCAGAGTAGTCTCCAACTCCTGGAATTAAGCAATCCTCCTCAGATCCCGGAACAGTTGGGACTTCACATGGCCAAAATGATAATTTAATGCAATCCCAATCAAAACCTCAGCAATCTATTTTGGAGAAATTGATAAACTGACCGTAAAGCACATATGGAAACACAAAGGGCCTAGAATAGCCAAAACAACATTGAAAAAGGATAATGCTGGAATGCTTGTATGAACTAACACTTTCTTCAAATGTACAGTGAATAAGACAGTGTGGTACTGGAATAAGGTCAGAAGGCCATATAGAACACAATGAAAAATTCAGAAATAAGTCCAAGTATATATGGCCAACTAATTTTTCCAGGGCCGCCTTCAGATTGGTGAGTGCTCTACCACTAAACTATACTGCCTAGCCCAAGGCCAGATGAGTTTTGGCAGATGACAGGACAACTCAATGGGAACGGCCAAAGTTAAAACAACTACAAAGCTATATTAAAAAAAAAAGCCTCTACAGCAGAGGGGTTCAAGGGGGAGAGACGGTGGGGCGGGGATGTACAATACAAGCCTATTTGGAATTGTCACAGGAATACTTCTTGTACAACGAATATATCTTAATAATTAAAAAAAAAACTCTAGCATTTCCTCACACTATAAAGAACAAGTCATTTGAAATATAACAAAGACCTAAAAGTTCTTGAAGATAAATGAGAAAATCTTGTAGCTTTGTGCTTAAGGAAAATTTAAATTGGACAAAAAAGCCATGAACTACATAAAAATTGACAAATTACATAAAAGTTTAAAACCTTTAGTTCTTCAAATGACAATTTTAATTAAATGGAAAGACAAGCACAGATTGATAAACACTTCCGAATATGTATTTAATAAAGGGCATGGTATTAATCACTGCAGAAAGAACCTTGAGATATAAAAAGTCAGGCCATGGAGTTGATAAATGGAGAGAAGACTTGAACAGACTCTTCACCAGAGTGACAGCAAGGGAGCCCTGGAAAAAGATCCTCAACACCATTAGTAATTAGAGAAATGAAAATGAGAGCCAAAGTGAGACACCAACCGCTACGACTGCTAAAACTAAAACACATACACACAGCATCAACCCACCGGCAGAGTGCAGAGTGACCTTGCTGGAAGGAATCGCAAAATGGCACAGCGCTTTGGAAGTCTGGCAGTTTCTTATAAAGACATTTATACACTTACCACTCGACACACTTCCATTTGTAGGTGTTTACCCCAAAGAAACGAAAACTTAAATATTTGTTCACAAATATTCATAGCAGATCTATTCACTGTAGCCCCCCCAAAACAAAAACAAAAACAAAACAAAACAAAACTGGAAGGGGCCCTCAGGCCCCTCAGTCGGTGAGTGGGTTAAAGAAATCGTGCTATATCCAAACCACAGAATGTCACCGGGCAGTAACAAAAGGGAGTCCGGATGCAACACAACGGGGCGGAGCATTTTGCAAAGTGGAAAGGCCAGAGACAAAAGACCCCTTAGGTGGGATTTCCTCGAAGGACATTCTAGAAACGGCAGAAGTACATCAGCATGAAACGGATCGCGGTTTCCAGGCTCGGCGGCCGGGCTGGGGGAGGGGCACCGACGGTGATGCTCCCTTCGGCTCCCGCGCCGGAGCCGATCCTGGAACAGAACCCGTTACAGATTCTCTGGACATCCAAGGCAGCACGTGTCACGGTGCCAACTAGTGGAACTGCACAGTTTTCTGGACAGCGATCCGGTCCAGAAGTTGAGGTGGCCGCTGCCAGTCCCGGGGAGGGTAGGTGAGGGCGGGGTGAACAGCCGTTGCCGCCATGCCCGTCCATGCCCTGTTTACTAGGGTTGAGTCACCTCACTTTCCCTCTCGCTTTCTATTTCTGCGGCGTCGGGGAGAGCGCCTCGGTTTCGTTTCCCGCTGGGATGGCCGGCCGGCCCCGCCCCCCAGCGGCGCACGTGGAGCGGGGCGTCGGGGGCGGGGCGTCGGGGCGGGGGCGGGGCCGCGCGACGCCCAGGCGGTGGACGCGCGGCTTGCGGCTCTCCCGCTCTCCTGTGGTCTCGCGGCTGTGGCGCTCCCGGCAAAGGAGCCATGGAGCGGAGTGGGGCGCGGGGCCTGGCACGTTCGACTACCCGGACCCCGGCGTCCCGGGCTGCCGCGCCGCACTCCGTGGATCCACCGGGCGCGCAGCTCTGGCTGTTCCCCGGCGCCGTGGGTCTCCACAGCGCGCTGCTCCGGAGGTCCGAGGCGACGCGGCAGATCTGCTGCACGCGGAGGCGCCTGGCCGTGCTGGAGCGCGGTGGCGCCGGCGTCGAGGTTCACCTGCTGCCCGCGGGCAGCGACGGCGCCCGCAAGCCCAGTAAGTGGGGCGGCCGCGCGCTCGGGCCTGGCGTCTCGAGCCGGGGTGACGGCGGGGACGGCGGCCGGGAACGGGACGGGCCGGGTTGGGGCGGGCGGGGGACGACGGCGACTGTCTCCCCCCGAGGGCACGGCGCGGCGATGCACGGGCCGCGTCCTCCTCCTCCTCCTCCTCCTCCGCCGCCGCCGCCGCGCTCGCCATCGCTCGGACGCGTGCCGGGCTCGGTTCGGCTCGCGGGTTCGCCGTGCAGCGCCCGGAGCCTTTCCTTTACCCGCGTTCCCACTGGGCAGGCACTGGCGACAAGCTGACCGTCCCCTCTGCATACTGCCTCGCGGGGCGGACACAGTGACCATTTGGTTTCTATTCAGAGCTTCTTTCCCCCCACTCCTGAGTACTTTTAAGAACATACCTGGCCGGATTTTGTAAGCCTTTCTCGGTGCCATCCTCCTTTGGGCTCCACTTGCACTTCTAGTGCGCTTGCTGTTTTACAGAGGGGGAAGTAAATGCCCACGATCTTAAACTTTTGCCAATTGATAAAAAACATAAAAGTGGTGTCTTAATGTTTCTTTGTTTTGGAAGGGGCATGAGGAGATTCCGTCCTGGGATTTGAACTCAGGACCGGCTCTTGCCCTGCCCGCAGCTTTGTCACTTGAGCCACGCCCCCAGCCCTGTTTGTTTTTCATTTAACTTGAGGGAAGTATAGAATCTCTTCCGTTTTCTCTGGTTCATTTGCATTCCTTTGTCGCTACGCCGACGGTGCCTGTCTGCCTGACTTTTTAAAATTGAGTTGTTACTCTTTTTATTATTTGAAAGAAGTGTTTGAATATTAAATAAGAATAGACTTTGACCCCCACATATATGTTGTAATATTTTTTATCATCTTGCTTTTTTAAAGCATTAAAATAGTATTTTAAAATTGCCTATCTCATCTTGCTTTTTGCTGTCACTATTTCTTATCGTGCACAATGGAGACTTTAATAGTCTATCAATTATCAATTGTGTTCTCTTAAGAGGGCTTGCATATGAAAGCTATCCACACTCCAAGATTTTTTAAATGTAACTCATCTTTAGTTTTAGTTTTCGGAGAGTTTTTTTTGTTGTTGTTGGGGGTGGGTTGTTTGGTTGGTTTTGGTTTTTTCGGATAGTGTTTTGCTATATAGCTCAGGCTGGCCTGGAACCCACCATCCTCCTTCAGCCTCCCCACTGCTGGGACCACATGCTTGTGCCACCACACCTAGCTCATGCCTGGCTAAGGTTTATTTTTAAACTTAAATTATTTGGCACAATTGGAAGTTCTTTTGATTTAAGTGAGAGGGCGGGGTCTTATTTGTTTTTCAAAATGACTAGTTGAATGTCCCATTACCACTTCTTGAATGCGACCCTCTTTTTCAATTGAAAATTTGAAATGCTTTAAATGGCTTTAAAAACTTTAATCCGTTGGGTCATCACTTCTAACCAAACTGTTTGTATTCCTCCATCTCTTGAGATTTTTTTCATGAGTAGGTTTATTTCGTTAGAACCCAAGAGTGAAGCAAGGCCCCAAAACTGACCTAATTTAATTTTTGTGAACAAGTGAAATGAGATTAGATAATACCTGGTGAACAAGTTTTAATCTCTCACTTTTGGAAAGGGCTCAATATGCACTAATTCCAATGAAGATTCTTTTCAAAACATTCATGTTAAAAATAGCCCCTCAAACACAATTCTGCCTGTTAAGACTGTAGCAGTTGGCTTCTGTTGGGAGCAGTCTGGAGGTGATTATTATTGTTTTTTCTTGTTTTATTTTTAGTTTGTCTCAGAATAAACAAATGTATTTGTTGTTGAAATGAGTAATGTGTTTTTTCATAGACTTTTTCACTTGTCACTTTTTGTCACTACATACTCAATTTCTCCATCTCAATTAGCTATTTAGGGTCTATTTCATATAAAACAAAGAATAAGTCAGTACTTTTCTGAATTACAAAGGTCCCTTGACAAGACAATCATTTTACTAATTTTCTTTGTGAACTTCAAGTTTCTTAAATTCCTGTTAAGTCAGAGGTTGAAGTTTTTCCAGGTATTTTAAGTGTTTAAAAAAAATGAATCAATAATAATAGTGGTGATGATAGTTACTGGTTGGATTTGCTTTGCAGAGTGCATTAAGTTAGGGAAAAAAATGAAGATTCATTCTATGGACCAAGGAGTGGAGCACTTGCTGATTCTATCCTCAGATGGAAAACCCTTTGAATACAACTTCAGCATAGAGCATGCAAGGTGGGGAACTTTCTGTCATTAAGCATGATTTTAATTTATTCGTAATGCAATTATTTGTAGGAAAATGGTACCATATCTGATATTTACCCCTGCTTTAGCTGTCGAAAGTATCTTAAGTGATGAATTCTGAACTTGGCAATGAAGTCCATCACCATTATACTTACTACAAACCAGAATGTTTGCTACCTGCTGTAGTTGGCATCATGTGTTTTGGCATTTAAATGACACAGTTGATTAGTCTGCCTACCCCCAAATTGATCTTTCACATTCATTAACTCATTTGACCTTCATAATTCCATAAATTGTTTCTGTAAATAAAGGTTTTCAAACTAGTGGAAAAATGCATTAACTTCTAGTGATTTGGGAGACTTTTCCCTAGTACAGCGTATGAATTAGAACATTTCAACTGGTATTTACTCCTGAGTAATACGATTGTTTGCATAAAAGTATTTTACAAATTCTATAATTATGCAGTTCTCATTGAAAAAATTATGCAGTTTTAGATGTACTGAATGTGAAGCAGTAAGTTTGAAGCTTTTTTTTAATCCTTGTGTTTCATTCCTAATTAAACACATTCGTAGTTCTAATATGTTACGACTTCATTGTGGTGATTGACATAAATATATATCATCTTTCATCAGGTTTCAAAGCATTTTACAAGAAAAAAGTATAATTCAGATTGCTTGTGGAGATTATCATTCTCTTGCCCTCTCAAAAGGTACTTTTCTGGAATAGTGATTTTTTAGTAGTAGTTAATGTAAGCTGGGCATGATGGTACATACACACCTATAATGCCAGCACTCTGGTGGCTGACCCAGGAGGATCATAAGCTTGAGGCCAGCCTGTGCTACATAGCAAGAGCCGTTCTCCTCCCCTCCCCCCAAGTGATAGTAAATGTGTGTACATACAGAGCCAGTAAAGAGAACTCTTGGATCTGTAAAATCTCCAGGTAATTACTGTTCTTATATTTTGTTCCATGCTTTTACTTTTCAAATATGAAACACTGAAAGTTTTCTGAGTAATGAAAACTATTTTTATTTGAGGTGGGAGGTCTTGCTGTGTTTCCTAGGCTGGCTTTGAATTCATTATCTTCCCACCTCAGCCTTCCAAGTATTTGGGATTACAGATGTGTACCACCTCACCCTGCTCAAAACCATACTTCTGAAATCTGGTCCAGGCTTGGACCATCCTTTTCCAGAATCTTCCCCTTTCCTGGTCCACTTTGAACTTTCTTATAGTTCAGAATCCCCAGCCCAGTTTTTGTGGCCAGGTTGCTGGCCTCTGGTGTGTTTTAACATCACTTTTTGAGTTATCGGATTCTCCTAGCCCTTCAGTATTTTCTGTCATACACTGTGATGGTATGAAATAGATGGAAGTAATGAATATGAATTATAACTTAAACTTGACTATGAAAGGAAAAATGAAGCCAGGAGGGTGATAGAAGGGAATTCAAACTTGAGGGAATTTTTTTTTTTTTTCCAGCAGTGAGTTTGAACTTAGGGCCTCACGCTTGCTAGGCAGGTGCTCTGCCACTCAAGCCACTCCACCAACCTTCAAGGGAATTTTTATTTAGACCAAACATGTTCTTAGACTGAATAGAAGGTATGATTTCAGGAAGTAAATAACCAAGTACTCGACCTGCACTGAAGGTTCTGTTGAGGTTTGAGAATATGAATTTGTAGTAGAAAAACGTGGTCATTTGACCACATCTGTTCATATTGCGTATTGAGTACCTACCATGTACAGATTATGAAAATGAAACAGACATACTCTGTTGACAACAAGTCTAGTCTAGCTAGGCACTGGTGGGCTCATGCCTGTAATCGTAGCCACTCAGGAGGCAGAGATCAGGAGGACTGAGGTTTAAAGCCAGCCAAAGAAAATAGTTCGTGACCCTATCCTGAAAATACCAACGCAAAAAAGTGCTGACAGAGTGGTTCAGCAACTGCTTAGCAAGCTTGAGGTCCTGAGTGCAAGCCCTAGTACCACACACACAAAATCTAGTCTAGCTGAGTGCCAGTGGCTCTCACCTATAATCCTAGTTACTTGAGAGCTGAGATCAGGAGGATCGAGGTTCAAGGGCGGCCTGGGCAAATAGGTGTGTGTCTCAGCAAAATGAACTGGTGGTGTGGCTCAAGTAGTAGAGCGCCTGCTTAGCAAGTGTTGAAGCCCTGAGTTCAAACCCAGGTCCCACCAAAGAAAGGTCTAGTGGTATATGTAAGAGAGAGACAGTGGGGGATATCCAGGATTTTTTAGTAGTAAATCTGTCGGGCACAGAAGTGCACATCTGTAATCCTGTCTACGAGTAGGCTGAGGCAAGAGGATCATGAGTTTGAGGACAGCCTGGGCAACATAGGGAGACCCTGTCTCTAAAAAATATTTTTGATAAATTTAATACAGGAAAAAAAAAAGTTGGAGAAGCAAGAAAGAGAACTGGTCGTGCTCATCACCATATTCTTGGTGAGTACTGGGCACTTGATCATAATTTTTGGAGAGGCTTTGCTCTCCTCCAAATCCAGCATGGCATCTTGCAAAGAGGTGCTCTGAGAGTTTTTCAGATTCCATTGGATATTGGCAGTTCTATTAGATAACATCTAAAAACATTGCTTGAAAAATACGCTCTGAACATACAATTAATGAAAGAAGTATCTTAAAAGATACTGTGTTGTAATTTCAAGTGTTTTTTTTGAAACTGGGTCTTACTGTGTTGCCTTTGCTGGTCTCCAACTAGTAGACTCAGGGATCCTCTGACCTCAGCTTCCTAAGTAGCTGGGTGCAAGCCACCCCAGCCATCTTCAAGCAAATTTTTATGTTGACATAGGATTCTTTAGGTACAAGAAAGGGAGGGAGGTAGAGAAATAAAACACTAGTTCTATATTTTGTTATTTTTTGTTTTCTCAAAAGTAGAGTGTTTCTGTTTTTCATAGACCCAGTCTGTGGATTTTTCCCCCCTTTGGTACTGGTGCTTGAACTCAGGGGCCTTGTGCTTGAAAGGCAAGTACTCTACCAATTGAACCACATCTCTGGCCTCCTCTCGGTTTTAGTGGTACTGGGGTTTGAACTCAGGGTTGCACATTTGTGAGGCAGGTGCTCTATGCTTGAGCCATAGCTCTGGCCCTGTATATTTTAAAAATTAAGTATTTCTTGAGTCTGATTAAACTCAAGTAGCTTCATTGTACCCCTCAAGATGGATGATAAAGAAGTTAGCTTACTGCTCAAGATTCTTGTGTGGGGTCTGAGACCTGTGAGTTTGAATGAAGAGAGAGTGATATCACCCTATGTGTCATACATAATGCCTTAGGCTAGTGTCTGCTACATTCGAAGTTTAATAAGACAACATTTTCTTTGTTTATGTTAAGGTGGTGAACTTTTTTCATGGGGACAGAACATACATGGCCAGCTCGGAGTCGGAAGGATATTTTCCTCAACCCCCACACCACAGATTGTGGAGCACCTAGCAGGAGTCCCGTTGGTTCAGATTTCTGCAGGAGAAGCCCACAGCATGGCCTTATCCATGTCGGGAAACATTTACTCATGGGGAAAGAATGATTTTGGACAGCTAGGCCTGGGCCACACCAAGAGTATGAAACATATTTTCAAATTTGTGATCAACAAATAACATTTTTCAGATGAAGATGGATTGAACACAGACCTCCCTGTCATAAGCAACACAGATCCTCATTTTTATGCACTGTTCTTCCTGATTTACCTTTCTGTTTTTGGGGGAGATCAGTCTATGAGACATGCAGTGTCTCATAGGAGTTGTGCATGTTGAGCCACGTTTCTGGGCTGTGTGGGATGGGAAAGGCACTGGACCTGGGTTCTGCTTCCCATTTTGCAGTTAACTTAATGTATACAGGACCTTGCTTGTCTTTTTTCTCTAGGCCTGTTCCTTCTGGAAAGGGACAACTTTGAATGAAATGATCTCGAACATGCCTTTGTGCTGTCAGTTAATATATTACTATAAGAGAATACTAAAATTCTATTTTTACAAGAAAAAAAATAAAAAAGACTGCTCACTAAAAGTTATTCTAGGGCTGGGGATGTAGCTCAGTAGTAGAGCATTTGCCTAGTATGCACAAGACCCTGGATTTGATCCCTATTACCTCAATAAAACAAAAAAAAGTTTGCTAAAGCTAATCAAGTTAGGTTGAAAGAAAAGAATGGGCTCTGGAAAGTGGTCTGACCTTTTAGTAGGTGAGGGCCCCTTAGTGTGAACCTTTTAGCCACACCCCTCTTGCTACTTTAGGCTTAGACCTTGGACCTTACCATACCAACAAAGAGGTTTTCTTGTCAGAATAGGATGGGAGCTGTTGTTGCTAGGTTGAAAAGGAGTAGTACAGGTAACTCCAGTATGAAAACTCAGCCTTTCTTTTTGGTCACTTCAGCTATTCTTTCCCTTTACAGAGAAAGATTCTCCATCCCTTATTGAAGGACTAGACAATCAGAAAGTTGAATTTCTTTCTTGTGGTGGCTCTCACACTGCACTGCTCACACAGGTTGGTGTACCCTGGTCTCTATTTACTGTATTTCTAGAAGAGCGCTTTGCATGGTGAGTTTGTGCTCCGTCCGTACCATCTCTTCCCACTTGTAAGACTTGTCCCTGTGATTTGGGAGTTTACTTCCACAGTGCTTTTATTAATTTTTCTCTGATGCAGAGTTACCAATAAATGTGACTTCCATACTGTATTTCTATAACATTTGATAAGAAGTTCTCTTTCCTTAGGATGGGCTGGTGTTTACTTTCGGTGCTGGGAAGTATGGGCAACTTGGTCACAATTCAACCCAGAATAAGCTAAGACCTTGTTTGGTGACTGAGCTACATGGACATAAAGTGACCCAGATAGCATGTGGAAGGTAGGTTGTAAAATAAAGAAAACTTGATAAAAACCAATGCAGTAAACTTGGGTAATCCAATAAAATTCCCCTACATTTCTTTGAGATAAAAGTATCAAAACATTTTCAAATGGGTGAAGATGCTAAATTTACAGTATTAAATAATCATAATAAATCTTTTAGTATACATATCTGTTTGGTCTGTGGGTATGTGTTTGTGTTGCTGAAGATCAAACCTAGAGCCTGAGTTACACTCCCAGCTCCTGTTTTGTTTTGTTTTTTAAATAAGTACAATTTACTTTTTGTTGCCTCCTTGATGAAATACCTTTGAAACTCTTCAAGTACACTTTCATCTTAAAAGAAAATAAGTCATTTATTTGTGTATTTATTTGGGAAAAAATAAGCAAATCACAAAGGTTTATTCAATAATGTAATCACCCTCTCACATAACCCCTTGATGCAGACATACGTTTTATTTACCTAATCTTGAGGTTGTGGTTTTTAATAATTGGATTTGAGTTAAACTAGGCATCAGTTAACTTTCATAGTGACCTGCTCTGGTCACAGTGCATTGCCCCCAGACAATCTATGGTAGTTTTAATGGAAGAATATTCCTGAGAATTTAGATTTTCATAGTTCATTTTTTTTAATAAAGGCAAAAAAATCTTGCTCAGAATCTTTGCTTTGTTTAATTACTTTCTTTGGCTATTAGATTTATGTTCACTTCTTGCTAGTGGGATGTTAGACTTGGTGGAATTAAGAAATGTCTTCACCTACATACACTTAACTCTGTTGAGCCATTTTCTTTTCCCCCTCGCTAAACATAAGCAAATTTGAACTCTGAATATTGGATTCATTTTTCAGCTTGCTGAAATCCAGTTTACATACTCTTAGTCTATCATAAGACATACTTTCTTATGATCTTGGAGTAAAATTATATAAAAGCGTAGCAGTTATAATATAGTAACATGTAATATAATACACTAATATATAACAGCAATATTGTAATAATAATATTAACATATTAACTCCAAATTACTGGAGTAAAATTTTCTTAGCCATAGAGGTGTCTTCTCAACCTCTGTCATTTAATACCTGAAGGAAATTTTACTATGACTTTGGATTCTCCTTGACACATGCGCAAAGATTCTTCAGTGCAAACCAGAGTATTTTCCCTACTAACAAAGGAGAATTTGCTGTGAAGACTCAAAGCTGGTATATTCATGGCCATACTTATTACAAGAAAAGGACACCACTTCATAGCAAAGGAGGAGTCCAAATGCTGAGATTTTGGCTGTGTCATCACCTCTTTAACTTTTAACTCTTAACTCTTCCAACCTGGTACTTGACAATACACATAGAGTATTGTCAGCCACGGACACTTAACTGAGTCTAGTGAATGTTCATCACTTAGGCATGATTGATTAAATCATTGCCAGGCTGTTGAACTCAATTTTCAAGCCCCTCCTTTCTATAGGTATGGTTTATTTCAAAGCCATGAGCCACCTACCAGGTGTGTTCCCAGGGTCAAAGATACTTCTCTTTCACTTGGGAAATACTAAGGGCTTAGAGATTATCTCCCATGAACTGGAGACAAGGCTTTGTCTTTGAGTGTGAGCAAATCAGTAAGAAAATCCAGTGTAATAAAGGTCTTTGGAAAATAGAGTTGGAGCTCGGAGAGGTCAGCTAATTCAGTCTGCTAGAATGGGAAGAGGAAGGACTCAGAGATGACTTTGAGTGGTAACTCTTGAGTGTTAAAAAAGCATTAGCAGTCCAAGAAGAATGATCGATCCGAAGAAAGGGAACACTACTTGCCAGTATGTGACATGGTGTTGAGTGGATATGGTGTTTCCAGAGTTTTCTCAGCCACATGTTGATTTCTTGATTTCCAGGTGGCTTTCATCCCTTGATTTTGGCAACTTACTATATTGCTAAACACTCTAGCCATTGGAGATAATTATGCATTGACAGCATGTGCTTTTATTTAATAGGTGGCACACACTTGCCTATGTTTCTGATTTGGGAAAGGTCTTTTCCTTTGGTTTTGGAAAAGAAGGACAATTAGGAAATGGTGGAAAACATAATCAGCTGGTACCGCTTCCCATGAAATTGACAACAAGTGAAGAACTCAAATTCGGTAAATTCTATAGGCGTACAGGATTTGATACAATACCTTGTTAGAGAAAGTGGTCTGTGTGATGTGGCAAGGAAAGCAGTGTGAAATGGAGGGAGTTTCTGAACATTGATTGGTTCCATGGTTTTCTTTATTTGTCAAGTCAGAATAACCAATTTTTCTTATTCCTTCAGAATAAGATTAATGTAAACTCGAGCATAAAATTAAACAGACTGTATGGATTCAGAGGTGTCAACAGCTCTGATTTCAGTTTGTAAGAGACTTAGTGACCAACTCCAGGATAATTGGTTTTCTTCCCTGGTTTGGACTGTAATCCTATGAAATGCTCAGAATATTGAGCAGCCAATAGACCCCAGTCATTGGAACTATCTGTGCTCTGCGCTTATTGTGTTATCTGTCTTACCAGTCCTTATATAGGTTCTGGAAGGTGTGTCTGTCATCCCCATTTTACTGAAGGATACAGAGACAGGAAAAGCAAAGGGCTAGCCACTTAACTCAAAGCCAGGAAGGAAGAAGGTTGGCTAGAATTGAACCAAGAACCTGAGTTCTAAACTGCTCTAAATAGAAGTGCCTTGGAGCATTTATGTTGTTTCTGAAAGCTTAGAATATGTTATAAACCATTTATATTAATTTTATATATTAAACTGTACCTACCTTGTAAGTCACCTGTCTTTACCAACTAGAAGTATACATTTGTCTACTTAATTGGTGGGAAATGTGCCAAGTCTGTGTGTTACAAATATAATGTGACTACATTTAAGAAGAATCTGAAATTATTTCAATTTAGTATGTAATTTTGTGCCAAGTAGCTTTTTGTACTCTTACTTTTATGTATATTCTTTTCAGAAAGTCACTGTTCAGGAAAGGAGCTAATAATGGTTGCTGGAGGAAATCAGAGCATTTTGTTGTGGATGGAAAAAGAGGTAAAACAGGTTTCTACATGTTCTAGAACTTGGTGTTTTAGGCAAAATGAAGGGTTCTAGAATCCAGGTTTATTGAACTTCAAAGTCATCAGGTTATTAGGCTGACTTTGGGAATATGTCGACATTATTGATCCTTCATTGACTAAACTACATGCATGTTTTCCCACAAATAATCAACAGAGTGATTTGTGGTGAATGTTTAATCAATGTAATTTCTGTAGACTCTGCCTTATTAGTGGCTTCTTGCTGATAGCATTGTCAATGTTAAGCTGACAGATTATAAAAATGTTGCTAACTAAAAAGACACTCCAATCATAGGCTTATGGATAATCAGTCTATAACTTCTCTGCCTGCCTACCAAGGGAAGTCAAGTTCCTCCCATTTACACACACAGCCCTTTTAGGATCTTCCCCTCAAGGTTGTGTTTGTGATCAGCTTTACCTAGTTGTACTTGTATAAAGTACTCAGTGCTGGGGTACTCCAAGAAGCTTGCTTTAAGTATAAGCTCTCTGGGCAAGAAATTGGCAACCAGACAAATGATTAATAATTCCTTATTAGAATCTCACTTTGTGATTGTCTGAGAGCTATATTATTCATATTTTAAAGTAAGCCACATAAGGTGGTATGTATCTGTAATCCCAGCATGTGGCAGGCTGAGGTGAGAGGATCACTAAAGACCAGGAGACTGAGACCCTCTCAGTCTCGTGAGATCCTCTCTCAAAAAAAAAAAAAAGCATTACACTGTATCCTCTGTTCTTAGATTGTATCTTAAAGTTGAGTGTCTGTTCCCGATGCGTCCGGTTATTGTGATTTATATTTTGTTTACAGAATTCCTATGTTAATCTGAGGAGAAAAATTCTTACATTGAATGAAGGAACTGTAAAGAGATGGATTGCAGACGTGGGAACCAAACAGTGGCAGAACACAAAAAGGTAAATACACTCCATAGATATGACCATGCTTATGTCCCTAAAGCAGCATTTTCCAAACTGGCTGTAACAACAGAGATGTATGATCTAGTGCATTGTATTGATTAGGATTTTCCAGAGAAGCCCTATCTGTCTACCTATTGAAAGAGAAAGATTATCTTAAGGAATTGACTTGTGTAATTGTAGTGTCTATCAAGTCTGAAATCTGTAGTGGGCTAATGGGCTGGAGACTCAAGAAGAAGAGTGAATGTAGTTTGAGTCCTAAGGTAGTCTCGAAGCAGAATTTCATTTTTCTTGGATGGCTTTTTTTTTTTTTTTTCTGTTTTAAGATCCTGAAATTATTCCATTAGACCTACCTATATTATGGAGGGCTATGTGGTTTACAGAGTCTGTTGATACAAATGTTAATCTAATCTACAAAAAAATACCTTCACAGAAAAGGCTACACTATTGACCAACTATCTGGTACTGTGGCCTAGCCAAGTTGACATTTAAAATGAATCCTTACAACTTAGAGTGCAAGCTCCATGAGGCCAGCTTTATTCCCTGTAGGACTTCCTGGGTACATTTATGTATGTTGTGACTCTGAGCAGCAAATACATTCCATGGCATTTCTCAGCCTTGTTTGACCCTGGAACCACTAATTTGTGTATCTCCAGTTCATAGCTAAACAGTTGGGGCATCCCTGGTCTTCTTCCATAGAACTCCTGCCATCTGGAAAGATTGTACCTGCTTACAAGCACCTTTCCTTTACAGACACTTTTAGATATGGCCTTCTAATTAGAGTAAATAGTTGAATAAAATAGTTGCCTTATAATTTGCAGAGCACAAATGACAAATGATGTGCAGTTGTGAGGTTTCTAAGATGAAACCAAACATCCTCCACACACATTTAATTTCTAGTAACTAATTTTGTTCCCATTTCAATGGAACAGAAACAAGTAGGGAGGATCTTATTTGTTCAAGAAATTTCTGACCCTGTATCAGGCCTTTGCTGTTTCCTGGGGTCTATGCTTTTCTGTTTCTTGTGTTTGCCACTGATATTTTGAGATTTAGCAAACGCAGCAGACTTCAAGATAATATGCATATAAATAGAAGACAGAGGGAGAAGCCTGAAGAGCAACTATAACATGTTTTATTTGTAATGTGCCGTTCATGAGAGGCACGCTGGATGATTGGATTTAACCATGTCTTATTCCTAATGTAGGGAAATTCGAGAGATATTTTCATCTTCTGCTTGTCTGACTGGAAGTTTCTTAAGGGAAAGGTAATGCATGTAATAAACTAAAGTTCTATAAGACAAACACCATGAAAACATACTTGAAAAAATGGTTCCAGGGCACAAAGTTAGTTATGTGTTTATCTCTTTCTAAAAATTACTTTTTTTTTTTTTTAGCTACTGTGGTGGTACACACCTGTAATCTCAGCAATAGGGAGGCCAAGGCAAGAGGATGAAGAATTTGTGGCCAGCCTGGGCTCTACTCTCTAAATTCTCATGAGTTTAGGCCAGTCTTGGGCCATATAGTGAGACCTTGTCTCCAAAAAATACTTTTTTTTTTTTTCAACAAAAGCAAATAATCTGCTTGCTATATAAAATGTCAAAAAAACAGAGAGCTGGGGATGTTGCTGAGTGATAGAGCACTTGCCTAGCATGTACAAACTCCACACCACAAAAAAAAAAAAGGAACACACTACAAAAATAAAATGAAAATCACACATAACCCATTACTTGAGAGTAATACTAGTTGGTGCCTGGTGGTATGTGCCTATAATCACAGCTACTTACAAGGCTGAGGTAGGAGGGTCACAGCTTTGAAGCTATTCTGAGCAACACAGTGAGAATACCTGGTTCATTTTTCTATCCTGATATATTTTTATAGAAAAATTGGGTAGTGGTGGAGTTAGAATGCAATGGTGGCCCCTGGGTTGGGTGCCCCATGCACATGAACACAAGAGGGAGTTGTGTTGTTCGTACATTGCTTTATATTTAATAGTTTTGTCCATTTTCCATTTTATTCAATTCCATATTTTTCAATATTTTAATGGCTGGATGATATTCGGTGGCAAAATTATACCTTTAACTATTTCCTTATTGCTAGATAATAGGGACTTTTCAAAATTTTATTTTTGGGGGATTGTATTAGGTTTTTCATTGATGTGACAAGTACTAATGAGAAACAGGCTAAAGGAGGAAAGATTTATTTTAGCTTATGTCATGGTTTCAGAGGTTTCAGTTTGTGGTCAGCTAGTGTTATTGCAGAAACATGCAGCAAAGGCAGAAACATGGAAGAAGGGCCTTTTGCGGGGAGCACTTCACATCAAAACAAGAAAGGTTGCTGGGAAACTCGGGACATGTATGCTAAGCATGCATTTTTACCACTGAGCTGCATCTCCATCCCCTTTAGGAATTTTTAAGTATTAGGAAAGAACAACTTTATACTTTTCCTAAATATTTATTTAATTTATATTTCCTTGAAAGCATTTTTCCTCTACTTATTTATTTTACTTATCTAGAGGCAAGAGTCTCTAGGGAAGTGTAGGCTACACTGGTCTTGAACTCATGGTCCTCCTTCTTCAACCTTCCAAGTGCTGGAATCACAGGCATGCACCACCATGCCCAGGAAGAATTTTTTTCCTACTTTTAGACCCTAAATAAATGTATTATTTTATAAAGATATGCCCATCTTTAGATAGTGAGTCTATTCAGCATAAGTATAATTCATGAGTTAAGATACATTTCAATAATTTTCTGTTGTAATACTAAAATTTTACTGCTCTGAAAGCCCCGTTTTTAGTTCATGTAACTTAAAGATCTTTTTTGGCAGGGGGTAGGAAAAACTTACCTTTTTTAATTCCTGTGTTTTTTTCTTAAAACTGGAAAATAAACATTTAGTGATCATCCTTTTTCCTTAAACTTGTTTTTGTTTGTGTGTGGTGCTGGGGATCAAACCCTCTCACATGCTAGGTAAGTGTTGTGCCTGGGTTATAGCCCTGTCCCTGACCCATTTTGGATAAGACAGTATCTTGAGTTAAAGTCTTAAGGTATAAAGCTGAGTGCTGTGGCTCATGCCTGTAATCTCAACTACATAGGAGGCAGAGATCAGGAAGATTGTGATATGAGACCATCCGTTGCAAAAAGCTAGTGAGACCTCATCTCAACAACTAAGCTGGGTATGCTGGTGCGTGTCTATAATCTCAGATATAGATGAGGCTAAGTAGGATCTCAGTCCACGGCTGAAATGAGGCCTTCGACTCAGGCAAAAACATGAGGCCCTCTCTGAAAAAATAACCTAAATGAAGAAGGGTCTGAAGGTGTGGTTCAAGTAGTAGAGCACTTGCCTAGTAAGCGCAAGACCTTGAGTTAAAACCTCAGTAATGCCAAAAGAAAAGTCTTAAGGTAAATATTGATACTATAGCCTCGTTTTTTTGTTTTGGTTTGGTTTTTTTATACCATTTGAGAAATAACTATATGTTCTCTAATACATTATGAATTGTGTTTGTATTCAGCCAAGTTAATATAGTTATTATAAAGCTGTATTGAAATGGAGGAAGAAACATATCTAGATAGAAAATCTGATAAAAGATCTCACTTTGACGTGTCCTTCCTCATTTCCTTATCCATTTATTTATCTTCTGAAGACTGGCTGCAGAAACTACGTCTGTTCATTTGGACTTAAGTAAAGCAAGAAGCACATTTAAGGAATTAACCCAGAAGGACTGGATTACTAACACGGTAATATTCTTCAGATTATTATTTGGAGAAAGAAAATGCACTAGAACTTTTCTTAAAAGAAACCAAAATTTCAGAGGAAATCTTTTTTTTGAAGAGATAGCATTCAGGAGTGAAATAATTGGTACTATAGTCACATGGATTACAGATAACCTAAATAGTGTGTCTGTACACAAAGACACATACATACATAATCCAGAGGGAGTGTTTTCAACTGTGGAAGCTGTAAGGATTTGTTGAATTTGGCAAACAAAATAACACTTTAGATATAGTTCTTTGAAGCATAAATACAGAAATTAGAATACTTTGTCTGCTATGACCATGCCCCTCATCTTTTACCCCCTGGGTTCTTCCTTTCTGTTTTGTTCCATTCCACTTCTTTTCTGTAAGTTCTAGAATATTCCTTATGGGACTGTTGCTTCCTTCTTCAACACTGTTATTACTATCTTTAGGTTTTCCACTTTCACGTGCTTGAAACGTGCTTTCTTATTACGTTAGCCTTTCTTGACTCAGTGTTTATTGGCTTTATTTCCCTATTGTACTTGTTGGTCTATGGAGGGTACTTTCTATGTTCTCTCAATTCTTTAACACACCCCCGCTTCTTTGTTCTCATGTGTTCTCTCTCTTTCCTCCTCCCACTCTATGTCTCCCCCTCCTCCTCTCTGGGCTCCCTGGCCTGCTCTGTTGCTCTGTCTGCTACAGTCATCAGCATGCTCTATCTTAGCTACAAGTTTTTTTCTCTCTCTCATACTTTCTTTAGGGAATAAAAGTTTGATTCTGTTAATTTTGGGGGAAACACGGGCCAGCTTAGGGAGCTAAGGTAAAGTAAGTCCCTAATTCTGTACCTTTACCAGGTCTGTAGCCCTTCATAGTACCTGTAATGCTAACTTAAGAACTGCATCCACAGGCTGTTTTACCAACATTTTTTCTTGCTCATTTATTTGATAAGTTGAAATCCTCCTGTCAGGACAGTATAACTTACTTTCAGTAAGATTCTGAGTCATTGCTGCTGAATACAGCCATGGAAAGGTCACCAAAAATAGAAGGCCATTGCTGTGTCTGGATCTGAGGGCTCTTCTTGGTTGTGCTAGAAAAATAACATATAACATATATACAGACAGTGTAATCCTAGGGCATTCTTCATCTCTACTGTTCAAAAAAGTTAGATTAGAAGACCTATAATGTTCCTGTCTTGAGATTCTGTGCTGTAGACTCTCAGACTTTTCAGCATTCATTCACTTATTCACCAAACATTTGAATACTTGCTATGTTCTGGGCTCTGTATTCATAACTCTTACTGAAAAATGAAAGAGACCTTTTCCTTGCCCTTAGAAACTAATGGATTAGCGAGGGGGCCAGACCTCCTCCCCCACACACGTGCTCATGCAGGTATTAGTGAAGACTGGTGGTGTTTCACACTCCACTGTCCTCCCAGACTTAGAATGTAGTGGTATGGACTATTTCCTGATGAATTCAGTCGGTACTACGTTAGTGCTACTTAATGGCCAACTCTACTTAACTGGAAACAAGCTGCTCCAAAAAGAGGGAATTTACCAAGTATCTGCTATGGTGAAAGGCCTTCTAGGCAGCCAGGAAGGTATCCTCCAGGCACAGAGTGTGACAGGTGAAAACAGACTGGAAGAATATTTTCCTAGTTCTAAAGAAGCCTGGGAAGTGTGAGGCTGTGGTGATAAGCAAGTAAAAAGGTGGGAAGGGTCTGTGACTTAAGATAAATAGAGTTATCAGGTATTTGTAATTCCAAGAACTGAACCTCAGTAGGAGCCCAGAATAATCTTTCAGTATAAAAATAGGTAGTTGTAAGACTTTGTACATTTGAAAATATCATTTAGCTAGTATCTCATAATTTACTGATTAAAAATTTAAAAATTGGAGACAGAAAAACCCAGGAGAGATTCCTATGAAGCTGTGTGACCTTGAGCAAGTTACTTAACTTTATCTGAAGCACAGATTTCTTATCTACAAAACATGGCTAATAGTATCATCTCTATTGTAGACAATCTGCAAGGATGAAATGACTAATTAGTACATAGTATCTGATAAATAAGTACCAGCTTATCTTCCTAGTGGATTTTTAAACAAATGATTACTGCTACTGGAGCACACATAACAAACCAGAATTCACTTTTACATTTTCTTGAACAGTTGGATTCTTGGGCTGGAACTTAGTGGTTGTGTTTGTTTGGTTTTTCTATTATTTTGCTGTCTTGGGTTGTGACCTTCTTCCTCTCAAAAAAAAAAAAAAAAAAAAAAAAAGCGAAGTTAATGATTTGAACCAGAGAGTAGAACGTCATACTCATCATTGAAAAGGCTGGAAACTGTGTCTGAATCTCTGGCTCATCTAGTGTCCTCCTGCACTTGCAGTTTCTTCTTGATCTCCTTTGTGTACCCAGCAATTGAGTGGGGAAAGTACTTGTCTTATATTTTACTTCACCTCCAGAATTTGGGAGGTGAAGTAAGATGGGTTGACTACATAAGTTTCAGAAAAAGTAAATGATTCTTCTAATTTCCCATGGAATAGAAGTCCAGGTTCTATACCTTGTTTGTTGTAGGAAGTTGCCCCTAGTTTCTGCTGATTTTGAATTCCTTTTCTCTGACCTTCCTTACCACAGATAGCTACCTGTCTTAAAGATAATCTGCTCAAAAGCTTGCCATTTCATTCTGCACACCAAGAAGCTTTAGAAGTTTTTTTCCTTCTCCCAGAATGTCCTGTGATGCATGATATTAACAACTGGGAAAGCCTGGTGGTCCCTTTTGCAGAGACTGTTTGTAAAATGAGTGACCATTCTTCAAGAATTCTGGGTAAGATTGATGATTTACAATTGAAAATACTTTACCCATCTTATTGGAAAAATACACCTACTAAAGTTATGGCAAAATTTAGATAATTATAAATTCATTCATATATTTTACGTCATATTCTTAGCATACTCTGAAGATGCTATAAAGTTACTGTGGTCATGTAAAACAGATTATTTTATACCTTTTTAGAGTTCTTGGGGATAGCACATGCATGGCTTGGTCATAACATCCTTTGTCCCCAACTTTTATTTGTGAAAAGTTTCACATTCACAAAGTTGACTGAACAGTACAGTGATTACCCACATGTCCTGTCCCCTAAGGGTCAAGAAAAATTAATATGTGGTCATTAGGACTCTCTTTCGGGATAGGTTACATTTTGTTTTTACTTAATCATTTGAATGTAAATTGAAGACATGAGATTTCATTTATGCTATTTGAACATTCATCTAAGAATATGGAATCTCAGATTACCAGACCATCATCATATCTAAGAAAATTAGCCATAATTGCCTAAAACTCAAGTTAGGAGCACAGAAAAGACTAATCACAAACAGTGGTTTTTGGTGGTGTTGTTGCTTTGTTTTGATTTGGGGTTTTTTTTTTTTTGGCAGTACTGGGGTTTGAAATCAGGACCTCTCATTTGCTAGGCAGGCATTTGACTCCAAGCCACATATACAGCCCTTTTTGCTTCAGTTACTTTTTGCACAGGGGCTCACTTTGCCCGAGGCCGTCCTTAGATATCTATCCTCTTACGAATGCCTCTTGTATAGGGGTGTGAGCCACTACTTCTGGCCAACAATTCTTAATTTAATTTTTAACATATTGTGATATTTCATCTGTGTTTTTTTCACAAATTAAATCAAGCTTGTGCTTCTCTTAACTATCAAGGAATTTTTCTAGCATATTAAAATCTAACATATCCAGTTACATTTGAAATGTATGTGTATTAATTGCAATTGTATTTATTCACTGAAGAGACTTAGAAATGTTTTTGTGATTATGACTATATTAAAATATTTTGTTACATGTTTGGGGAAATATTCGCTTTTTTTTACCATAAGAATCCCAAGAGAAATTACATGTCAGCAATTTCATTTGCCTTCTTTGTATTCCTCAGAGGGGTTTTGGGCAACTCTGCAAGAATCTGCTTTCAGCAACCTGGTCCTGATGTTTAAAAGAGCCATTAATGCTCAGTTGCATTATTGGACTGAAAGTGATGAGAATAACGGTCACCTTAAAGCTCTCCTAGAAATGCTGAAAAAGCTGCATAGGGTAAGGGTTAATAGCAATCTTCATGTCTAGATTGGACAACTAAAGTCTCCTTGCTTTTGACTTGCCTGAATCTTAGCAGATGCATAGGAAACTCATGAAGTTTATATTGCAGTTTTTTTAATGTTTTTCTATAAATTATATCATCTGTATAAAGGAATATATCTCCGGTTGTCTTTATCCATAGGCTCTGCATCCATAGATTTAATCAACCATGGATTGAATATATTTAGGAAAAAGTTGTGTCATACTGAATATGTATAGATTTTTTTTCATGATTCCCTCAACAGTATAGTGTTACACTTATAATAATATGAATAACAAGTATAGTAAATGCACAGTTTTGACCAAGTGTGGCCAAAAAAATTTGTAAATCAACATTTCAGAAACAAAAAATTTTAATTCCTGTGCACACATTATGAAGTTCAGTTAATGCAGAGAAGCTCTCGATCTCAGGTTATTGTCAGCTGTGTTATTTTTATTTTGTCATTTTTACATTTACTTACATGTATATACATTATTTGGGCCACCTCCCCACCCCCAAACCACCTGCCCCGAACCTGTTCCACCTTGTTCTCCAGCGTCGTTGAAGAGAAAACAAGAGATAATAAGAAAAACATGGTGTTTTTGGTAGTTTAAGATAAAACTAGGTATACAGAGAGATTCCTAGTGTTGTTTCTATGCATATGTGTATTACAACCCATATTGGTTCATCTCTACCAGACCTCTTTACTACTTCTTAGTCCCCTTCCCATAGTGGCCTCTGCCAGTTTAAGATACCGTAGTTGCTTCTATATAGTGAGCACATCAACCACATTCAAGTTTTAGGTTTCTTTCCCTTTCCCTATTCTTCCCATGTGCAGTCTCCCCTTAAGTATGTGACCCATGTCCAATAATATTTCTGCATTTGTTTTAGGTCTATAATCTGCATAAGAGGGAGAACATGTGATTTTTGGCCTTCTGAGCCAGACTAACTTTGCTTAACATGGTGTTCTCCAGTTCCATCCATTTACTTGCAAATGGAAAAATTTCATTCTTCTTTGTGGCTGAATAAAATTCCATTTTATATAAATACCACATTTTCCTAATCCATTCATCGGTAGTGGGGCATCTTGGCTGTTTCCATAGTTTGGCTATTGTGAATAATTTTGCAATAAACATGGGTGTACAGGTGCCTTTGTAATAACCTGAGTAGCATTCCTTTGGGTATATCCCTAGGAGTGAGATTGCTAGAGCATATGGCAGATCTATGTTTAGTTTTTTAAGAAGCCTCCATATTGTTTTCCAAAGTTGTTGTACTAGATTGCATTCACACCAGCAGTGTACGAGGTTTCCTTTTTCTCTGCATCCTCGCCAACACCTGTTGTTGGTGTTTTTGATGATAGCTGTTTTAGCAGGAGTGAGGTGGGCTCTTGGTATGTTTTTGATTTGCATTTCCTTTATGGCCATAGATGGTGAGCATTTTTTCATGTGGTTTTTTTTTTTTTGGCCATTTGGATTTCTTCCTTTGAAAAAGTTCTGTTTAGTTCAGTTGCCCACTTCTTTATTGGTTCGTTGATTTTTGGGGAGTTTAGTTTTTTGAGCTCTCTGTATATTTTGGTTATCAGTCCCTTGTCTGATGTGTAGCTAGCGAAGATTTTCTCCCATTCTGTGGGTGGTCTCTTCAATGTAAAGACCATTTCTTTTGTTGTGCAGAAGCTTTTTAATTTCATGTTGTCCCATTTGTCAATTCTTTTTCTTAGTTGCTGGGCTGCTTTAGTTCTACTGAGGAATTCCTTGCCTAAACCTATTGCTTCCAGTATATTCCCTGCTCTTTCCTGTACTAACCTCAAGGTTTCAGGTCTAATATTAAGGTCCTTTTGAGTTGATACTACTGCAGGGTGATAGGCATGGATCTAGTTTCAGTTTTTCTGCAGGCAGATAACCACTTTTCCCAGCAACATTTATTGAAGAAGCTGTCTTTTTTCCATCATGTGTTTTTGGCATGTCAGTTGTGTTTTAAATCATGTGTTCTACTGAGTGTTTTCCTTCCCTACATTTTGTGAAAATCTGCCTTCCCCAAAATTGGAAATTTATGTTAAAGTTATTTTGGTTATTTTTCATATGAAAAACAGCCCTAGCAATCACTGACTGAAATTCTGTCCTTTCCCCACCAATGCAAACTCTCATAATCCAAGTTCTGTATATGGGATTCACTTCTGAACCATTGGTCATTTTGTGTAGCTCTACACTAATTGTTTATATCTGGCAAGAGAAGTAACTTCCTTACCTTGTTCTTTCTTACTGAGATCCTTCTACCTCAGGATGGAGGCTTGGCTAAAGTTGTAGATCACCTAGCAATCTCGAAGCCCTGAGTTCAAATGCCGGTACTGCCAACAAACAAAACAAAAAACAAGAGATTCTCCCATTTATGTGAGACCACGCCACTGTATTTGTCCCTCATTTTGAGCTTTCTTACTTTCTTTTTGCCCACCATTCTGCACTTCTACTTCACGAATTCTCACTTCAGTTATTTTGTCTGCTATTACAACTACCTTTTAGGTTTTGATTTTGAGTATTAACGTTTTTAATTTCTGGGCATTCTGGCACAAGCCTGTAATTCTAGCTGTATGGGGAAGCACAAATACAAGGATCATGGTCCAGGCAAGCCCGGGCATAAAGAAACCCTGTCTCAACAGTAACCGAGACAAAAAGGGCTGGTGGAATGGTTCAAGTGGTAGAGTGCCTGCCTTGCAAGCACAGGGCCCTGAGTTCAATCCTCCCCGCCCAGTACCACCAAAATAGGTTTTTTTTTTCTTGGTCATTATTTACAGTTCATCCTTTTCTCCTTCTCTTCAACCTTATCATTCTAATTATCTTTGCAGGTCAGTTTCTATCATCTACTTTTCGCAGAATGTCTATTAACATATGTTTGATTATTTGTGTGTGAGCTATCTCCCATTTTCCTTGGAACTTGACTTTTGGAATTTTTCAGAGTCTGGCTTTCTTCAGAGAGAATTTACTTTTGTCAGGTTCCTAGAGGTAATTGAATTCTTGACGAAGCTTTTTAGATCTCCAGGTGATAGGAGTTTGGTTCACACTTGTAGGAAAGCTCGCTTGCAATTACAGATTCTCTGGGGACTATTTTTCCAACTGAACACCATTTTAACGAGTTTCCCTGTGATTCCAGGGTTAAGTGGAGTGTGTTGACATAGTTATGGAACAGTTTGTGACTCTAGGTCACCTTCGCCCTGATGTAAGCCCTTTGGGTTTGTGTTCTCATCTTGACTTTTTAATTTGAAAAATTGAAGTTCAGGTTTACCAGTTTTGGTACATGCTCTCAAGGCAAATACCATCTTCATCACTTAAGGATCTTTGGGGTTTTGGTTTTTGCCATGATGGGAATTGAACGCAGAGCCTTGTGCATGCTAGGCACCATCCCCAGCCCTTTTCACTTAGTTTTTGACCTGAGTATTCATATCTACTTAAAAAAACAGTACTGCCTCAAAAAAATGGTTTTTGGGAGTTTCTCCTATGTTTCTAGTTCTTTTTTCAGTAGGTTAAGGTACCTAACCTACTATATTGCTAAAGGAAAAAGCCTGCTTTGATACTGAAAAACAGTGATTTTCCTGGACTATGTTTTAAGGTTTTACACAAAACGGAAAAAACAATCAAAAATTAATTTGGGGTTTGAAAAATTGAGAAATTTATTGAAAAGCTTAAGGAGAGTGTCTTCTAATGAGATTTTGCCACTTACAGAGTTAATAAGGAGAAATGCTGAAGCAGCAACGAAAGAAACCATAAAGGAATCCTGCTTTGGACCCTAACAGGGGTCACAAGAATATTTGATATTTGTCAAACTCCCTAGCTCAGCTTGAGGGGAGCCTCAAGAAGTCTTGAGGGTGAAGGACCCATTTTCTTAGTGACCCTGAAAGCTAATGCCAGTGCAAGTCTTGAGACAGGAAAGTACCGAGGACCATAGAAATGGTGAAAAAGTTTGATGTAAATATGCTTCATGTGGTAGCAGTAGGAGGCCCAGATCACTTGGTGTTTGATTGGGAGTCAGGAAGAATATTGTAGATGAATGACCTCTGTACATCACTAAGATAGGCTTTCAGAAGACCTGAGATTCGATGTAGGCCAGGACTATGCTCATCCAGGTCAGATACTGATAAAGAGCACAGATGTCCAGAGCACCTAGTATCATTCAGCATTTTCATTGACTGATGCCAGTGTGTTTGTGTGCATCACAGTAATCCTGATCGTCTCGTGAAATAGAGAGCTGGAAAGCCTCTCTGTGCTTTGCAGGGGATGATCTGTTGGGCCCAGCAAGGAGAGCATCTAAATAAGCTTAGGCACCCCGTGAGCAGTGGACCCCACAGCACCTTGGCTGTGTACTGCACTGTTTTTTGCCTTTGGACTTAAAATTTCTCAAAATTTTCATACGAATTGAAAGTAACTACAAGTTTATCATTGTCAGTCTGTCATATTGAATCTTAGGCATTCTTTATGTTCATATTAGTGCTTAGGCAATTGATAGAATTTTATTCCAACCATTAAGAGAGTCTAATTTACTACTGATTCAGTAGTAATAATCTAATTATTACTGATTACTAATTACTGATAATCTAATTAACAGCCATTAAGCAAAATTGTCTTTAAATATAAAACCTTCTCATAAGTCCTATTTTATTTAAGGTAAACCAGAGTAAATACCAGCTGTCTGAAAATATTTTCAAAATAGATGAACTTTCAGACTGGCTTAATTTTTATGGAGAAGCTTATAGAAGGTCCTCTTGGAAAATGAACTCGGTAAGTCTAGCTCATTTAAAGGGGAAATTGATAATTGGTGAGTTAATATATGCATTTCTACTACAACTTTCTACGTGGGTTTCTAAAAGCCTTATACTCTGCAAAATTGAAATAGCAGGTCTTGTGCATTTTTGTAGCCAGAACAGTGACAAAAAAAAAATTACTGGTACCTGGGAAGAAATTTAAAACAAGCAGTCTAGCAGGTCATGGGAAGTTCTATGAGAATATGGAATGATGCACCAACAGGAAAGTTAGAAATCTGTTCACACTCAGAGAAGGCCCATGGTGCTGAGACCACAGATGGCAACCCTGGTGCCCTGGAGGTGCCCATACAAGGCAGAATGACTCACCAGGCTCCAAGGGGCTGCAGCTTTGGGAAGGAGGTCTTGGTGTAGGCAGACCTTTTATTATTATTTCTTAAAATATAGTTAAATGGCTCCTGCTGATAATGTTTTGCTTCTGCTTGTTGTTATTCTATCATATTAATCTTGTCCAGCAGAAGACATGTATAGGTTAGCCAAGGGCATCCAAGCTCATTCACATTGCAGAAACTCAGGTTGTGACAAAAAAAAATATTTTTTGGGGTGGTACTGGGATTTGAACTCAGGGCCTCATACTTGTTAAGCAGGTACTGTACTCTACCAGCCTTTTTTTGTGTTGGGTATTTTCAAGATAGGGTCTTGAGAACAGTTTTCTCTGGCTGGCTTCGAATCTTGAGCCAGAATCTTCGAATCTCTACCTTCTGAGTAGCTATGATTGCATGTGTGAGCCACTGGTGCCCAGCCAGAAAAGACTCTAGGACTAAAGTGTCCAAAATTTATCATTAAATTCTAAATTAAACTCGCATTGAAAATACAGTTTATATGCTTTTTCAGTGATATATGTTAAACACATACTGCTAGTACTGTACTGCTGACCAACAATTTGGATTGCTTTGGCTAGAATTACTGAGACCTTAAACCAAAAGGGATTTAATATGGCTGTGAGGTAAGGTGTAAGATTTTTCCGTCCTTAAATTTATCAACATTCTCATTATTTCCATTTTTAGGACACTTCAGATGTACAGTATTGTGTCATATTTAGTCACTTTCCATTTGTCTTTAATATTCTGTCAAAAATTAAACTACTCTATGCAGACTCACTTCTAAAAATACAGGTATGTATGTCTAACTCTTTGTCGTTATTATTATATATCCCATGATAAATGTCTTAAACCTAAGTAGTTTGGGCATGATAAGAGAGCCACCAGTGGTCATGGCATTCAAGCATCTTACACTCTAAGGAAGAAGGCCAGAATCTGTGTTGGTTCAGGCTTAAGGCATATTAGGACCTCAGTAACAAATGACAGGCCCTGGTTAAATGACGTCATTATAGGGTATTTATCTGAAGTTCTCACCAGTACCTTGTAGTCTTCTGAATAGTGCCCAAAGAGGTAGAACAGGCTTGGTTTTATCTTTTTTTGGCAGCACTGGGATTTGAACTAAGAGCTTTGTGTTTGCTAGGCAGGTGATCTACTGCTTGAATCACACCTCTAGCCCCAGACTTTTTGGTTAGGACTAGCTCCAGTATTGAAGGAGGTGCAAACCAATGAAAAGTTACAGCAGGAATAGAGGTGGCAAAGGATTCTTGAGGTTAGGACCCCCATAAATGTCTGGTATTCTGATTATGGCCATAAAGGCTGGTAAAAAGTCATCCCATCTCAGTGCACTGTATCCAGCTGAGGTGGTTCTTCTGGTATATATATAGATATCTATATATCTATATAGATATCTATATATAGATATATAGATATCTATATATAGTTATATATATGTAGCAGAGTAGTTTTGGGTTTAAAACCAGACAATTGAAAATGCCTAGTGAGTTGCAGATTGTAGCTCAGTAGTAGAGCATTTGCCTGCTGTGCTCAAAAAGGTCTGAGTTTGATCCCTTGCATCACACATTCAAAAATGCCTAGGGAACTGTATCAGCCAATCCCTACCTCATTGCAGTTTTATAAGAATTAAATTTGTTAAATAACTTAGATTTATATAAACCACTTAGAACATTGCCTCCTATCACCTATACGCTTAGACCCAGATGTTTGTATGTGTATGTATAATGTTCCAATATATGTTCTTTAAAGTACATACTTTCACATAATGCATTTATAAAATAGGAAAATGATTTTTTTTATGTATGTGTACTGGGGTTTGAACTCAGGTCTTTTCACTTGAACTCAGGTCTTTTCACTTGGTAGGCAGGTGCTCTACTGCTTAAGCCATGTCTCCAGTCTTTTTTGCTCTGGTTATTTTTGAGATGGGGTTTTGCAAAAATGCCTGGCCTGGCATGGACTGCTGTCCTCCTATTTATGTTTCCTACAGTAGCTAAGATAATAGGTGCATGTCGCTATGCCCAGCTTTTTTTCTGTTGAGATGGGATTTCAAAAACTTTTTGCCCAGACTGGCTTCAAACTGGGATCTCCACCTCCCAAGTAGCTAGGATTATAGGTGTGAGCCACTGCTGCTGGGCAAGAAACTGATTTATGAGTTCTAAGTATGACCATTAATAAAATAATTAACAGGAAAAAAAGAAAAAAGACAAATTTTGTTTGACTTCAGCTCTTATGACCTACTCTCCCCTGATTATAAACAGACTTCCAATGATAATTTTGTTGAACTGGTATTTGATTGTTGTTCATTTTCTTAAGAGCCACAGACTTTAATGACCCCTAAATTGCCATTTGGTTTCAGAGTGGACATTCTCTATCCTCTTTTCTTTTTCTCTCCTTTCCTCACCTCTTCTCTCCTTTTCTCTCTCTGTCTGTCTTTTCCTCCTCTGTCTCATACCCACTCCCTGGATGAAATACCTGGAGGTTTCCTGCAGCCTGCTTCCTTTCTAAACACCTGAATTTTTCTTCTGAATGAGAGTATTTTGCTGCAGTTCACTGTTTCAGTGGATACTGACAAAGTATCTCCATTTTTTATGGAAATTAGCATTGTTGACTTAAGCATTAACACTTGTGCTTATCCAGGTTTGCTCTGCAGAGTACTTCATTCCATAACGCCCACATTTCTTTTGCTTGATGAGAGTAAATGGTGAATGTTTCACTTACCTCTAGAGTTCTGTATAGAAAACTGTTCTCATAAGTGCAAGGTGCATTTAGGAACAAAACTGGTTTATTTCACTCTATAAATTCCTATTTAAAGAGGGCATATGGCAAAATGAAATGAACATTTTTGTTTTCCTAGGAGAGAAAAATCAGAGCTTGTATGAGTTTGGCAGGAATTTTGGAACAAGAAGAATCTGAATTAGCTTTGATGCCCACCCTTAATCTCAGAGTCAGGAGGAATCACTTGGTTGAGGATGTTTTGAGTCAGCTGAGTCAGTTTGAAAATGAAGACCTGAGGAGGGAGTTATGGGTAAAGTATCATTCTCACTTAATATTCTTGTTATGGGGAGAAGAAAAACATGAAAGGAACAAAGAGTCTCAGAAAAACTGATTTCCCTTTGCTACAAAGGTGGTCTCTTGGGGACTTGCCATAATTCCCTAGTTACCCTTGAGTTTGAGGTGGCAGCTATGGACACTTATTACCTTTGGGTTAAAGCAGCAGGTGAAATGGTTGTTCTCCCTCAACACTGATGAAGTAGGTAGTCCATTATTAGCCCTATATGTCAAGTTCTTCCCAAGGTCTCACCTAGCCTGGCTAGTCTCCACTTTGTAAAGGTGTCAGTGAGATGGTCAGCACAGAATTAGGGTGTGTCTGCCCTTGTGCAAGTTGCCTTGTGGAGGAGAGTTCTTTCTCTTTATTGACTACAGAGTCATTTGAGCTTCTAGTTGTAGATTTAACTATGTGCTGAACATTTATAAATGATGTTTGTTTAATTATCTTTCTAGAAGCTGTTTAACATAGAATAGTAACAACAGGTAAATGTATGGAATACTTTCCTTGTGCCAAGAACAGTTGGGAGTATTTTACACTTCCTTGTTTAACCCTTTCAGCAACACTAGTGGGTTCTGGGTTTCCTTCATTTTATAGATGGGGAACTGAGCTATAGAACTATTAGGTAATTTACTCAAGGGTAACACAACCAGCCAGGACTTAGACCCAGCCAACTAGGCACTAGACTTCCCATTTAAGACAAATAAAGATTGACCTGAAAATATTTATTAAATGGAGGAGACCCTGGGTTACCATTTTTCTGTTTCTTAATTCAGGTAGCACTTAGTGAGCTTTAACCATTTTTCCAGACTTTGTGTGAAGCATATCCCATGTTTCACTCCATTTAATCTTTTGGGAAAACTGAGGCTTTGTGAGACCAACAGTAAGGATTTCTGACAGCTGGTCTTACTGCAGAGATTTCAAATATCTCACTAAAGTTTGAAACTTGTACCTTTGGGGAATGAAAGGGGCATACGTACAGATAAACCAGTTAGAGTTTTTGGGGGTGCTATACAGGTGGAAATGGTGAGCAGACCTTTGGAAATGAGTGCCTGTCACTCAGAAAAAATTCAATGGATCTGAAGGTTAAATGCCTGCAAGTGATGAAATTTAAAAGGACAGAAGTGCCAGGATAAAATTGTAGGAAAATCTAGGATCAAGTCAGCAGGGAAAAGAAGAGATAAATTTAAAAAAAAAAAAAAGTGAGAGAATAGTGTCAAGAAAATGAGATGTACCCAAAAGGGTACAATGCATTAACAAAGTCAGGGCCATGAGATGTGATGAAGCCCTTTCAATTGGGATTCCAAGTTCCTCTTGGACCATTTAATTAGAGGAGGGGTTTGGAAGTTGGTCTATGTTCTCCAAAGTTGGATGTCCTATACTAGTTAGGATCCAAATTGGATTGGACATAATAAGTTGGAAATTTTTTGAGGATAAGGAAGACCTTATTAGTACACTGAAGTGAGGATTTTAAGAAGGAAAGGCAAGAATGGAGGGGGAGGTAACTGAAGGTGCAATGATGGGCTTTGGTAGAACCATCCTCAAGAGGGGTTGGTGTTAACAGGGAGTGCTACCTCCTCAAGGAATAAGCAGCCAAGTCCTTATGCATCCTCTGACTTTTCAGTTTTTTGAAACTACTTCTATTTCAGAGTTTTTTCCTGTTCATTTTTATTACATTTAATGGAGTTGTGACTACAATGTCAATTGAGGTTAATTTAGTAGTAAAGACTACAGGTTCAATGGTGTGACAGACATAGAATTAAATCTAAGATGTACCACCAAGCTATTATATAAACTTGGGAAAGTTATTTAAATTCTTGAAGTCTTATTAGCATCAAAGGATTAATGCAGAAATCAAATAATGATAAAACAAATAAGGTGCTTACCACAGTACCTACCAAAAGTTTGGGTCTGTAATTTTTAAAGAGAACTTAATGCATAGCAGTACAGAGCCTTGGAAGTATTTGCTGTTTCCTAGGTTTCATTTAGTGGGGAAATTGGATATGATGTGGGAGGAGTCAAGACAGAGTTCTTCTACTGTCTGTTTGAAGAGATGACCCGGCCAGAATATGGGATGTTCACATACCCTGAAGAGGCTACCTACATGTGGTTTCCTGTCAAGGTAAGTCCTCTTCTCTCTGTTTCAGGATCCCATGACAGAAAAAATAGAGCGTGGACCACAGAAAATTAGATTGTCTGAACTGTTTTATACTAGGAGAGGAATGAGAGTATCTCACAACTATCATTAGGGGATTATTTTCTTTAAAATGGAGGTTCCTTTGGGTGTCTTGTCCACACAGGAGAGCTTTATTGATATGTTTTGACCATTTATAGACTATGTGAATAAAAAATGAATCCTTCCTTTCTCAGGCACACTTTCTTTGTTTCTGCTCTGTTTTTCAATGAATTAGAACTTTATAAGGATTACGGAGTCTAATGTGTTTCTATTCCTATTACACATTTAATAACTAAAACGCTGGCAGGGACTTAAATCAATTTAATGGCCAAGTATAAGCTCTAACTCAGGATTTTTTTTTTCTTTTTTTGGTGGAACTGAGGTTTGAACTCAGGGCTTAATGCTTACAAAGCAGGTGCTCTTTACTGCTTGAGCCACACCTCCAGTCCATTTAGCTCTGGTTATTTTTTGGAGGTGGGAGGGTCTCATGAACTATTTGCCTGGGCTGGCCTCAAACCTTGATTTTCCCAATCTCAGCCTCCCAAGTTGTTAGGATTGCAGGCATGAGCCACTGATGCCTGCCCTCTAATTCAGGATTTTTTGGTATTGGCAATTTGATTTGGTGAAAAGGGAAAAATTTACTTGATAAAACATTTCATTATAAAAATGTGTAATACTTGAAGATGATTTTTCTCTTTTCAGCCTAAATTTGAGGCAAAGAGATATTTCTTCTTTGGGGTTCTCTGTGGACTTTCCCTTTTCAATTGCAATGTTGCCAACATCCCTTTTCCACTGGCACTCTTTAAGAAGCTTTTGGCCCAAGCACCATCATTGGAAGACTTAAAAGAACTGAGTCCCGTTTGGGGGAGGTAAGTAATTGTAGTCCTTTTTTCTAGGACTTTATCTAACATATATGTGGATAAATAGTTAAACACATATCCATACTGTTCTGACATCAGTGTTTTAGGTACGTTAAGCCAATTTTAGCTTTGGCGAAAGAATTGTTGGGTAATAGCTTCATTTTCTAAAATTAAGAAGTGTTGATTTTCCCATGACTTGTCTTCAAAATAACCTTTGAACTTTTTCTGTGTAGAAACTTCAGGGCCAGAGCACATGTTATATCTTGATGCAAAATCTGCTAGTGATGTTTATATTAAATGTTTTTTTCACTATCATTACTTTAAAGTAGAATTTTCTCTCTCTTTTTTTCCCCCTTGGATGGTACTAGGAATTAGGCAAGACTCTGCCACTTGAGCCATGCCCTCAGCCCTTTCTGCTTTAATTTTATTTTTCAGGTAGGATCTTGTGCTTTTGCCCTGACCAGCCCTAACCATGATTCTCCTATACGTGCCTCTTGAGTAGCTAGGGTTACAGTTGTGCACCACCACCCCTGGCTTGATTTTGAGATGGGATCTCACTAACTTTTTTGCATGGTCTATTCATGAACCTGAATCTCCCATCTCTTCCTCCTGCATAGCTGGGATTACAGACATGTGCCACCTTGCCTAACCCAGAAATTTTTACTATTATTATTTTTGGCAGTATAGGGCTTTAAACTCAGGGCCTGCTGCTTGCTAGGTAGGTACTCTACCACTTGAGCCATACCTTCAGCCCTTTTTTTGCTTTCTTTAGCTATTTTTCAGGTAGGGTCTTGCATTTTTGCCTTTGGCCATCCTCAGATCCTATGCCTCCCATGTATCTGGGACCACAGGTTAATGCCACCATGCCTAGCTTCTGTTCAAATGGGGTCACGGGTAAATTTTTGCCTGGGTTGGTCTCATACCGCCCTCTTCCCAGTCTCTACCCCTCAAGTAGCTGGGATTATAGGCCTAAACCATCAAGCCCAGCCTGAAATTCATTTCTAATTGAAAGACAAGCTACTACCTAGCAAAGCAATTGGTAAAATACACAGCAGAAAGAATTAATATGCCTTCTGCATAAAGCATTCCTACTCGGTCTTAAGAAAAATTAGCAAAGTATCCAACTAAGCAGCTGACAGAAGAAGCAATAGAAGTGGTTCATAAATAAAAAGAGGCATAATCTCACTAGTGTTCTCAGAATACATATTAAAGTGAGAGGTTAATTTATGCTTCACATCGACAGTGGTCTGAAATACTGATGCCAGATCATGTTAACAAGGGTTGGGAAGAGGTCTGCAAGTAGGGATGGGAAGCTACAGATAAACTTCCTAAAGCCTCACACTTAGAGTTGAGCTCTAGCCTTATTTAGACTATCAGTACACAGAGAAATAAATGCTGTGAACCTGATGACATTCCTTAAGAAGAGCTATGCACTTGACCTTCATTTCAGATGATGTATCTAGTGATCATGACTATTGCCTTAAAAATAAATTTATTTCTTTAGGAGTTTGCAGACACTTCTGGATGATGAAGGCCCTGACTTTGAAAAAGTATTTTACCTCCATTTTAATGTGAGTAACAGTTAAAACTAGGTAACACTTCAGTTTTAGTTTTGATTAATCCTTACATTCTTATCTAAACATATCACCTTTTATTTTGAAAACAATGTCAGACTTCTGAATAATGCTAATGAGGAAAGGTGTTTTTTTTCCCTTTGTGATCTGAGTGTATGAGTCAGATTTTACTATGAAACAACCATCTCCCAGACGTCGGTGGCTTAAAACAACAAGTAGGATTCTGTGAGTTTCCACACCGGGCTTGCTTGGCCGGGCTGGATGATCCACAGTGGCCTCACTCTCATACCTGGTGATTAGCAAATTGGTTGATGTGTGAGGTGTCAGTTAGAACAGCCCATTTCTGTCTCATTTGGTCTCTAGAAAGCCAGCTGAGGTTTTAGGATTCCTAAGAGTGAAGGGATGGCAAGCCCAACACAGAATCTCCTTTTCAAGCTTCTGCTTCTATCAGACTTCACATGGCCATACACAGATTCAAAGGCTGAGGAGATGGGACCTCCCCTGCTTTTTTGTCTTCATTTTTTTATACATTTTAATGGATTTCACCCTGACATTTTCATACATGTATATAATGTGCTTTGAACAACCCCTGAACCCCATTACTCTTTCTTGTTCCCATCCCCTGGCTCCATCCTTCCTCCCAAGAAGTTAGATTTACCCCACTTTTTAAAATGTTTTTATTAGTATATAATAGTTGTACAGGAGGTTTCATTGTGACATTTCCATATCTGCATACTGTATACCCCAGGTTGGTTCATCTCTTTTCCCTCCCTCTTCATAAAATGACTGACAGGTTTAGTGTTCCATATTCATACATATAGAAAAATTGTACCAACCATATTCATCTTACTTTACCCTCTTCATTTACCCTCCCCCTTCCACTAGTACCCTTCCCTTAACAAGACTTGTTTTACATTCCTGTCCTTCATTGTTTAAGTGGGGTTTTGCTTTGGTATTTTGCCTGTAAGTGTATTGTACTTTAAGCAGCCTAACCCTGTTAGTCTTCCTCATCCCTTTCCTCCTACTCCATAATATTCAACAGTTTTCAGTGTGTTTCATTATGTCTTGTTCCTATACAGATAAGATATATTTCAGTATTATTTTCTCTCCTTCTTTCCTTCCTCCCCCAGTCTCCTCTTAACAGTTCCACTATTGGAGACATGTTCTGTGTGTATGTGATAATGCTTGTATTTGGATCTGTCTTCCACATAATGAGAAAAAACATGGGACTTTTGGTCTTTCTAAACCTTACTTCATTTAATATTATATTCTCCAGTTCAATCCATTACAAAATGAGGATAATCCCCCCCAACTTAAAATAATATCAACAGGTTTCCATGTTCTGACTTCATACAAGTATATAAAGCACATTGACCATATTCATCCTCCCCCTCCCAGTAGTACCTGTTCCTTAACAGCACCTGCTTTACATTCCTGACCTTCACTGTTTCAAGTATAAGTTCCTTATTCAAAGGGGTTTTGCCATGGTATTTCACCTGTGAACATACTGCATTTTAATCAGTGTAGCCCCTCTATCACTCTTCCTTATCCTTTCTCCCCCCTACCTTCAGTTGCTTTCAGTATATTTCAGTGTGCCACCTTCTGCCCATGTATGATGTATTTTAATACTACTCTATCATTCTCTTCTCCCCCTTTTCCCTCTAGTCTCCTCAAATAGTTCACTATTGGAAGCAGTTTATCTTTTGAATCTGTCATCCACATATGAGAGAAAACATGTAACCTTTGTCTTTTTGAACCAGATATACTTTACTAACATGATGATCTACAGTTCCATTCATTTGCCTGTAGACAACATAATTTCATTCTTTATGGGTAAATAATGTGTGTGTGTGTGTGTGTGTGTGTGTGTGTGTGTGTGTGTGTGAGATCAAACACCCAGGGTCTTGTGCATGCTAGGCAAACACTAAACCCACTAAACCACTGAACTACATCTCCAGATGTAATGTGGTTTTGATTTGCATTTCCTTTGTGGCCAGGGATTTTCTTTAGTCATTTGTACTTCTTCCTTGAAAGATTTCTGTTTCTTCATTGGGTCATTGATTCTTTGAAAGATTACTGTTTCTTCATTGGGTCATTGATTCTTTGAGAATTTAGTTTTTTGAGCTCCCTGTAAATTCTGGTTACTAATCCCTTGGCAAAGATACTCCCCCATTCTGTGAACTGCCTCTTCAGTCTGGTGACCATTTCCTTTGCTCTGCAGAAAGAAGAAGCTTTTAATTTCATGTAGTCGCATTTGTCACTTCTTTTGCTTAATTGCTGAGCTACTGGAGTTCTATGTAGGAAGTTATTGCCTATGCCTATATGTTCCAGTGGTTTTCCTATTCTGTCCTATAGTAGTTTCAAAGTTTCAGGCCTTATAATAAGGTCTTTGATCACTTTGGGTTTATATTTGTATAGGATGAGAGACATGGATCTAGTTTCCATTTTCTGCATGCAGATAACCAGTTTTCCCAGCAACATTTATTTGAAGAGGCTGTCTTTTTTCCATCATATATTTTTGGCTCCTTCCTTTGTCAAAAATCAGGTGGCTGTAACTTCATAGATTTGTGTCTGGGTCTTCTGTTTCTGTTCCACTGGTCTTCATGTCTGTTTTTGTGTGTTGCTATGACTATGTAATATAGTTTGAAGTCAGGTATTGTGATACCACCAATGTTGCTCTTTTTGCTCAGTATTGCCCTGGCTATTTGCAGTCTGTTGTGCTTCCACATGAGCTTTAGGATTGATTTTTTTTCAATTTTTGAGGAATATCATTGGAATTTTGATAGGAATTGCATTAAACATATATTTCTTTTGGTAGCATAGCCATTTTCATAATATTAGTTCTGACAATCCATGAGCATGGGAGATCTTTCCATCTTCTGATGTCTCCCTGAATTCTTTCTTCAGTGATTTATAGTTTTCATTGTAGAGGTCTTTTTCACTTCCTTTGTTCAGTTTATTCTTGGGTATTTTTTTGAGGCTGTTATCACTTTTTGCAGTAGTAGAGTTTGAACTCAGGGCCTCACACTTGCTAGTCTGGCTCTCTACCAACTAAGCCACTCTGCCAGCCCAAGACTATTGTAAATAAGATTGTTTTTCTAAATTCTTTCTCATCTTTTCACTGTTGGTATATAGAAAAGCTACTGATTTTTGTATATTGATTTAATATCTTGATAATAACATCTTGCTGAAGGTGTTCATAAAGTCTAGGAATTTTTAGGGTCTAAAAGACTTTCCTTTTTATTGAAGGTGTCACATAGTCATACTGCAAAGGGTCAGGAATACCAGGCTGGAAGGAACTGGCAAACATTTGTGCAAATATATCACACTGACTCTATAGTATTTGAAGTAAACACCGAGATGTGGCAGTTTTCCAATTAATTGATTTAATATCAGTTAAGATAATTTAAATTTTGGGGAAAAAATCAGTTTCCATTCTGTGTAACAATGGCATTTTTTTTGAATCTTGTTAGTTTTTTTAAAGACAAAAATGTACATTTTTACAAATTCTGTCGAAAAAGAGGTATACTCCAAAGTATTGTTTTTACAGTGATTGTTCAGAATTATTTTGGAGATGTTATCTGAGTTCATTTGTGTTTACAGGTGCACTGGGACAGAAATGACATAGACTTAATTCCTAATGGAAGTTGCATAGCTGTCAACCAGACTAACAAGTACGTATAAAGAAAAACATTTTACTTATTTTGTACGTTATGTTTATTTCATTAAGCTCTAAAAATTACTTTTAGTTCTTATAACTTTTCAGGGGGAGGAGGGACTAGGGTTTGAACTCAGGGCTTCATGCTTGCAAAGCAGATACTATAGCTTGAGCCACACTTTCAGTCCATTTTGCTCTGGTTATTTGGGAGATAGGGGTCTCATGAACTTTTTGCCCAGGCTAACTTTGAACCAAGATCCTCCTTGCCTATCTCCCTCCCTCTCTGCCTCCTGAATAGCTAGGATTACAGGCATGAGCCACTAGCACCTGACTTTCTGTTTACTAGTTAATTTTTCTTTTACTGTTCTTGTGAATGCTATCTTAGTGATTACAGCATGTGTCCTTGACATGCTAGAGTGTTGTCTAATAGAATACATATCCCAGACAATGCAAAGACCTTAGAACACTGTAAAACTTCCCAGAATTTGTGTTATTTTCCCATTTCTCTTACGTACCAGTAATCACTCTTCTTTTTCCCTTATATTGATCATTGCTTTAGGCACTTCTGTGATTCCATGTAGAATCATTTTCCTCTGTTGTGTTGTGTTGCTGTTTGAGACAGAGACTCATGTGTTGCTTAGGCTGATGTCAAATTCCTGGACTCAAGTGATCCTCCTGCTTCAAGCCTCTCAAGTAACTGGAACTACAAGCATGTACCACCATGCCTGACTTCTTTTGAATTAGTGTCTTTAATTATCTGGCTGCTTTGAAGGTTTTTTCTTTTGTCTTTGATCTTCTGGCAGGTTTATTATAATAAATATCTTTTTCATCTTGATTTATTTCCATACAGTGTTTGAAGCTGTGGCTTAGTGTCTCCAGTTTTCAAATCTTAAGTGAGTACTGATTACCTAGCTCTGTTCTTTCCTTCCATTATACATGGAAGGAAATTACGTGTGTCCTCTGTAGCCTGCAGTTTTATATACTCCTGTGTTTTCACATCCTATTTGTTCTTTATGTTCACGTGTAGAAATTTTCTCACATATCTTCTGATTCTCTAACCTCAAGTATATGAAGTGCATTAGGCTATTTTCTGAATTTCTTATTTTAGTGGTTGTATTTTTTTTTAAGATTTCAGATATTTGTCAAATTGTAGTTTCTCATGAAATTTTCCATGAACCATGTTCATCACATTCACTTTTTCAATTACTAGTACATATTAACTGTATAAAGTAGTGGCTTCATTATGACATTTGCATGCATATCATGTATCTTGATCGCCTTTGCTTATCTCCCTCCCTCTCCTCCTTTTCCCTTTCCATATCCCTAATAATCTCTCCTTTATTCTCATGTCCTTCCCCCCTGCCTCCCAAATTCCACTTAGGAAAAACATACAATACTTGTTTTTGTGAGGCTGACTTACTTTTCTTAACATCATTACACTTATTTTAAAGCCCATGTTTTGGTTATCATTCTTCTTTTCTCTATTTTCTTTGTCCCTTTTCATGATGAATTTGGTTATGTGTATGAATGTTAGACATAAAGGTCTTCAAAGGTTTTGAATGATGCTATCTTCCTCCAGAGAGGCTAGAGTAACATAGTCTGCTCAGCTTACTGAAGGATGGAGCTGACTAAGGCAGGGTTGCAGCCTTTTAAGGCTCAGCTCCCACCTTAACTCTTCAAGCATGGCTCTCCAGGGGTCCCCCTTAAGGCCCATAGTACTTTTTAGGATCCCTTTTCCTTGGTGGACCTCCCCTCCAACTTTAGTTTCTACAGTATCATAAGACTGTTAAACTGTTTACCTCTTAAGAATTTAGGGGATGCCTCACAAGAAAACCCCAGAATGCCAGGCTCCCTGCTCCCAGAGTCTCTTCAGTTCTTAATTTAATAGCCTCAAACTTAGTCTTTTCTTTAAATTACTGAAGCTTCTTCTAATAAGAATTGACAGATCTCCCAAAGGCACAAACCTAAAGAAAATGCTAGTCCCCTCAGCACACTTTCCTCTCTCTACAGTGTTGCCTCTCTTGAGTCTTGACCCAGATTTAAAGTCTTGAGCCAGATGTGGTTTTGTATTTTATCTGACATTTAGGTAATTTCAGACTACTTTTTTTTTTTTTTGATGGTACTGGGGTTTGAACTCAGGACCTCATGCTGGTTAGACAGGTGTTCTAACACTTGAGCCATCCTACCAGCCCTTTTTTGCATTGGGTATTTTTGAGATAGGATCTTGAGAACTATTTGCCCAGGCTGGCTTTGAACCACAGTTCTCCTGATCTCTGCCTCCTGAGTAGCTAGGATTACAGGCATGAGCCACCAGTGCACCAGTCCTTCTTGCCTATTAAAGCTCCAAGCAGTTAGCCTGCACCCTACTCACCTAACCACTCACAGACTTACTGCAGCTCATATTTATTCACACAACTAAAGGGCTGAACCACAGAGGAATTTCTTATACAGTGTAGATAACCTACCCCACATGTACAGGGTCATGGGGACCTGACAAAAATCAGAACTGCAGCTGTTTTAACAGTTTACATTTAAATTAATTATTCTGACAGAACAAGATTTTTTTATTGTTGTTAAAGGCTTAGTAATTCATTGGTGTTAAGAGTCAAATTGATTGGAACTCTATCTTGTTTATTAAGAATGAGAATTGGAATGGAATTGATAAAAGCTGGTAAAATATAAAATAACAGGGAAGCCAGGCACCAGTGACTCATACATGTAACCCTAGCTACTCAGGAGGCAGAGATCAGGAAAATTGTAGTTTGAAGCAAGCCCAAGCAAAATAGTTTGTAAGACCCTATGCCCAACACAAAAACAGGCTGGTGGAGTGGCCCTAGCAGAGTGCCTGCCTAGCATGAGGCCCTGAGTTCAAACCCCAGTACTGCCAAAAAAAAGGGCAGCCTCTGTCTGAAAACAGTTAGACTTCATTGTAGCTAGAAGTGGAAAATGTCTCTTTATTTGTATTTAACCACTGGTAATATTAGTTGCTCATTGTCACAAATTCAGGTTATTCTCAAGCACATTTTTTAAAAAATGAAATTTACCCCGTCTCTGAACTCCATTCCCTAGATATTAATCACTGTTAGCAGTTCAGACTTTATTATTCCAGACTTGGCAGTTCTAATGTCAGTGTTGATTCTCTTTAACTCCGACCTTGAATGGTTGTTAACCTCACTGTGTCTCTGTTCTTCTTCACTTAAGTGTTCACAATGGAAGAATATGCCTCAGAGTTGTTATGAAGATTCAGTTATATAATCTATAAAGTTTTAAAATGGGAGCCGGATGTGGTGGTGCATGCCTATAGTCCCAGCAGCTCAGGAGACAGAGATCAGGAGGACCTGGGTTCAAGGCCAGCCATGGCAAAAAAAAAAAAAATTAGTGAGACCCCCATCTCAGTAAACAAGCTGGGCTTGATACTATGTGCCTGTGACCCCACTATGCTGGAAGTATAGGTACAAGATCACGGTCATCCAAGTCTAGACCCTGTCCAAAACATAACCTAAAAAAAATGGACTTGGGGTATGACTTGAGTCTCTGAATTCAAACCTCAGTACCACCACCCACATAAACACAGTGACTCTTGACAGTCCATGGCACCTGGCAAGCACTCAGTTGTTAAGTATCTGAGCTTTTAGATTTATCCCGATTTTGTTCAATTTATTTCAGTAATGGAAATTTTTTTTGTTGTTTTATTAAAGGAGAGACTATGTGTCTCAGTGTGTTGATTACATCTTCAACATCTCTGTAAAGGTGGTTTATGAAGAATTTCAGAGAGGATTTTATAGAGTGTGTGACAAGGAGATTATAGAATTTTTTCATCCTGAAGAATTGAAGGATGTTATTGTTGGATATACAGATTATGACTGGGAAACATTTGAAAAGGTACGTCATCACAATGGTTAAGCTGATTAACTTCCTTATTTTGTGTGTGTGTGTGTGACTGAGTTTGAACTCAGGGCTTCCTGCTCCCAAAACAGGTACTCTACTACTTGAGCCACACCTCCAATCAGTTTTGCTCTGTTTTTTTTTTTTTTTTTTTTTTTTTTGGAGATTCAGTCTCACAGGCCCAGGCTGGCCTCAAACCTTAATCCTCCCAATCCCAGCCTCCCAAGTAGATGGGAGCCACCAGCACCCAGCTCTTGAATTATTTTTCCTGCATTTTCTCTAGAATGCAAGTTATGAACAAGGATACAACAATTCACACCCCACAATAGTGATGTTTTGGGAGGCTTTACACAAGCTGACTCTGGAGGAAAAGAAGAAGTTCCTTGGTAAGTACTGTTAAGGAATAGGTGTTATGTTACATCTTGTTTTTTTCTTTTTCTGTTACCCCAAATGTTACATTTTTTAATCTCATTTAAGATAGCATTTGTAGCAAATCAGTGTTAAAGTTCTCCTAGTGCAATTAAATGTCCTGTCTGTACTGGCATCACAAAATCAAGTACTGGCAGATGCTTATAATGCTAGCTACTCAGGAGGCGCAGAGTTCAAGAGGATCACAGTTCGAAGCCAGCCCAGGCAAATAGTTCGAGACACCCTATCTCGAAAAAACCCATCACTACACTCAAGGTGTAGGCCCTGAATTCAAGTCCCAGTACCAAAAAAAAAATCAAGTATTAATAAAAGTAGTCTTTTTCTATATGACATTTTCCCTGATTATTGCTTTTGAATTTTTCTTCTACATTGAAACTAATTTTGAGCCTGCTTTCTGTAGTCCCTATCATCATTCAGTCAGTTATCCCTTGTAGGATTTGTCAAGAATTTTCTTTGGATAATTTTTACTATTATGTCATTATTTGTGTATTTACTGTTACTGTACACAAGCTGTTATACTTGTGTTTCCAAGTCTAGTTTTTTGTGTTTCTTGGACAGTCATGGGGTTCAAACTTAAGACCTTACACTTGTTAGGCAAGTTACGCACCCCTCCCCCTCCCCCCAGCCCTTCCAAGTCTGGTTCGCTTCACTTCCTAGGTTTTGATCTCAGTTTTATGCTTATCTGGTGGCTTTCTTAAGACTATCTTGATGACTTTCTCAGTTTCTTATTGTATGACCATACTTACTTGTCTTGTTCTTATTTTTTATGGATGCTATGTAGGTTCAAAGTTACTCCTACTTATTATGCTAGAGCCCAGTAGTCTACCTCTCCAGTCTTAACTCCTAGAGGAAATCTTTGTTCCACCAAAAACAGTTCCATTGCCTGTACACTCCTGAGCTCACCTGGCATCCTCCCACTCCTACCTTGACCCTCATCCTCCTCATTTCTTCTGTGAACCTTTCCCTCTTCAAAAGTCCAGCATAAACTTTGAACTCTTGGAAGTTTCCACAGCCATCTCAGCCTGGCACTCTCTCCCTTCTGAAGCACAGCATTTATACTCAGGAGGCACTCAGTTCTTCTTGGCTATTTTATACTTTATTTTCTCCTGCTATTTTTCTTTTCTACATAAGAATCTACTATAATAGTTCTCCCTTTCCCTGTAGTCCTAGCTACTCAGGAGGCAGACAGCAGGAGGATTGCACAGTTCGAAGCCAGCCTGGGCAAATAGTTGAAAGACCCTATTTCCACAGGAAAAAAAAAAGCAAAACAAGACTGGCGGAGTACATCCTGTGGTAGAGTGCCTGCCTAATAAGCAGGAGGCCCTGAGTTCAAACTCCAGTACCACTTAAAAAAAAAAAAGTCCTCCCTTATCTGTGGCTTCACTCTCCATAGTTTCAGTTAATTGAGGTCAACCATGGCCCAAAAATATTATTCCAGAAAGAAACATTTCGTAAATATTGAATTGTGTGCTATTCTGAATAGTGTAAAGAAATTTCATCCCACTCTGTCCAGCGGGAGTGTGAATCATCCTTTTGTCAGCATATCTATACTGTATACACTACCTGCTGATTTTTTCAGAGTGATCATGGAGATATCATTGGCTTGTGTTCAGGCACCCCTTTAATTATGGTTTAAGAGTTCAGGAGTAGCCATGCTGAAAATTTCAGATACACCAAAGAGAAGCTGCAAAGTGCTTCCTTGAAGTGAAAAGTTAAAAGTTTGTCATAGTGCTGGAGACATAGCTCAAGTAGTAGTGCGTCTGCCTAGCGATCATAAAGCCCTGAGTTCAAAACCTCAGTACCATAAAAAAAAAAAAAAAACTTTGTCATACGTATGTACCTATAGAGAAAAGCACAGTAAATGCAGGGTTTGGAGCTATCTACATTTTCGAGGTACCCATTGAGATCTTGCAGCATAATCTGCAAGATAAAGGGAGACTGCTGTTCCTGGCCAGACTTTAGGCTGCTTGAAAATAGTGACTGTGTATTAGATTTGTCCTAAAATGGCCCCCAGTGCAGTTTCATGTAGGATTTAACATATGTAAAGTTCGTTCAACAGATTTTCTCTCTTAATAAAGAGAGTTTTTGTTTCTTTCTTTTTGTTTGTATTTGTTTGTTTGTAGTACTATGATTCGAAGTCAGGGCCAAGGCAGGTACTCTACCGCTTGGGCAATTCCACTAGCCCTTTTTTGTGTTGAGTATTTTTGAGAGGGTCTCATGAACTATTTTGCCCAGACTGGCCTCGAACCACTATCCTCTTAATCTCTGCCTCCCGAGTACAGGTGTGAGCCACCGGTGCATAGTAAAACAGATCATCCAATTTTATTTTTCTTTTTAGTGTTTCTTACAGGAACTGACAGATTACTAATGAAAGACTTAAAGGATATGAAAATAACATTTTGCTGTCCTGAAAATTTGAATGAGAAAGATCCCATAAGAGCGCAGACGTGTATTAGTCTTCTCTACCTCCCTAAGTATTCTACAATGGAAAGAGTGGAAGAAGCACTTCAAGTAGCCATCAACAACAACAGAGGATTTGGCTGATCCGACATCATGTTCTTCACTTCTTTTTGAAACAGTTTCCACAATAAAATTAACTCAGAAATTAACATGGCTTCACCATTCACTGTGTTCACCTGCTGTTTGAGAATTCCCACCATTGCTGTGTGAGATGTGTTAGATAAGAAATTGTTTACACTGTGTTTTCTGGCACAAATTTGATTTGGCCTGAAGGGAGATTGTATTAGATTGTATTTTACTTTTGAGTTCTTGGTTTTTTGGGGGGTTTGAACTCAAGGCCTCGTGCTTTCTAGGCAGGCACTTTACCACTTAAACCACTCTGCCAGCTCTTTCTGCTCTGGTTCTTTTTGAAATGGAGTCTTGCTTTATGCCCAGCCTTGGTGGACTGCAATCCCCCTATTATGCTTCCCACATAGCCAGAATGACAGGCATGCGCCACTGTGTCTAGCCATTGGTTGAAATAGGGGTTTGGGGGGCGGTGAGTGCTGCTCACAACCTTTTTGTCCTGGCTAACCTAGAACCACTATCCTCCCATCTCCCAAGTAGCACCCAGCTTTCTTTTGAGACAGTCTTGCTGTTTAGCCCAGGGTAACTTGGTATTCCTGATCTTGCCTTGGCCTCCCAAGTGCTGGAATTATAGATATGTGCATCCATGCCCAGTTGCTGGAATTACAGATATGTGCATCCATGCCCAGTTTGGGTGTTTTGTTTTGTTGAGGGGTTCCTGAGTGTGGAACTTGGGGACTTGTGCATGCTAGGCATCAAGACAGGTCATCAGTATGTATCTCAGGTTTGCCTTGAATTCGCTATGTAGCCCATCCTGGCCTCAAACTTTCAGTCCTCCTGACTTTACCTCATGAGTGCTGGGAGTATTTTTACAAACAATTTGTCTACACAGTACCTCCTCTCTCTTTTAGGTAAAAGTTCCCAGTATAGTGGGTGTGTCATTGTGCCCAGTTAAAAAACCATGTATTTCTCAGCCACCTTGCATTTAGGAATTGCTTGGTGAAAACTATTGCAAGAAGTTTCTAAAGAAGCTTTTTTAATTCAAAGGGTATCATTTTATTTTTTCCTTGGTAGAACACAAGCATATAGCAAGAGCTGTCTTCAGACCACCAGGGAGATATCCAAGTAGAGCAGATGTCTTGTCTCTAAAATTAAGTATCAGAAACTGCCTAAGTCTGAACATGTTATGGGAATTATTTAAAAATAATTAAAATTAGTGTGTTTACTATGGTGAAGTCTATTCTCGTCACATTCCTTATTAATACAAATATAATAAAAGTGGTAGTCTTGCTAGGTGGCAGTGGTTTATGCCTATAATCCTAGCTAGTTGGAAGGCTGAGATTGGGAAGATTGCTGTTTGAGGCCAGCCCCAGCAAAAAGTTAGGCCCCACCTCAGCCAGTAGCTGGGTGCAGTGGCACATGCTTGTCATTCCAAGTTATGTGGGAGACTGAGATGTGGAGGATCGTAGTTCCAGGTAACCGTGCAAAAAATTTTGAGACTACATCTTCATGGAAAAAAAAGGTGGATGTAGTGACACACTTCTGTCATCCCAGCAACATCGGAAAGCTTAAAATAGAATCAGGGTCCAGGCTAGCCAGGGTAAAAAGCAAGATCTATCTCAAAAATAACCAGAGGAAAAAGAACTGGATGTATGACTCAAGAAATAGTGTACCTCCCTAGCAAATGCAAAGCCCAGAGTTCAAACCTCAATACTGCCAAAAATGTAAATAAAAATAAGTGGTAGTCCAGTGGATGCAAGGGCATTGAAAGAGTGAAGTTAAAGGTGTGCTGAGGGTTGGGGCTGCTGAGAACAGATCAGGAAAAGGGGCTTGAGGTCATGGCAAAGGTCAAGTGCACATGTAATGGCTGCAAATGGCAACTTGCTTACAGAGTCAGGGTCCTATGTGAAAATGCATCTTAAGTATACCTGATGTACCCTTTTTCCCACCACATACTCAATTTAAAGATACTGTAATCTTATAGTATCTTTAAACAGTTCATTTGTGTATTTAGACCAGTAGAGCATAATCTGCAATAGTTTTGTTACAGGAGGAGAAGGGGAGACTGAATTTTGGCTCAAAAATTTTTTTGGTGGAACTTAGATTTGCACTTGCAAAGCAGGTACGCTGTTGCTTTAGCCACGCCTGTAGTTCATTTTACTTTGGTTATTTTGAAGATGGGGTGTAGTGATCTGTTTTCTCTGGGCTGGCCTGAAACAGCGCTCCTGATCTCAACCTCTCAAGTAGCTAGGATTGCAGGTGTGAGCCACCGGTTATATTTTTGAACTGCATATGTGGGTTGGCAACCTAAACTTCCATTTCACCCTCCACTGCTGATGATTCCTGACAGCTAGCTTCTGTATGAACTAGGTTCTGTCTACAAGAATTTGTACTGTGACAGGAGCAGCTGATTTTCTTGGGGGTGTGAGAGTGGAAGGACATCAGTAAAGGGGGATACCAGCTGCACTTGACCTGTTTGTCACATTTCTCACAAGCTTTGTGGATGTGTGGTGGCAGTGAGAGTGGTAGCAGAGATAGCAGCATCTTCTGATCTCTAAGGTGGTGTGATCCTAAAGCCAAATTCAATGACCATGTCCTGGCTAACACTTTACAGCCCTTCCAAAGATTCTAAGCCCCTGTTTTCTATGAATTAGATCTGAGAAAATACCTGGAGGAGTTCTGTTTCCAACACACAACTCCAATAGAGTAAAGGATTGCAGTAATTAGCCCTAAAGCATCCAGATCAAGTAGGAATATTTTTTAAAAAATACTAAACTTAAGATATAGAGTTAAAAACATCTGCTCCGTTGCATCTTTCCTTAAGAAAAACTTCAGAAACTTTCTTCCAATCTTACTTTCCAAAAGTTAAGCCATTCTGGAGTCTTAGCTAACAAATGAAGTAACAGATGGTTCAAAATACATGTCTTGCATATAAAAGCTTGACAAAGTATTCATTGTTTGCAATAATGTCTACACATATTTTTTGGAGCCAAGCATTGTGGTGCACATCTGTAATCCCAGCAGTCAGGAAGGTGAGCAGGAGGATAGTGAGGTAGAGACCAACCTGGGCTACATAATGAGATACTCCCTGAAAAACAACAACAAAGGGAAGTGAAAAAACAAGTCACATACTGGGAGAAAATACTTGCAAATCATGTATTTCGTGAAGGACTTGTTTCCTATCTGCATTAAGTCAAGAACTCAGGAAATCACAACTATAAAACGGTAAAGATTTGAACAGACACAACCACAGAAGATTTATGGGCAGAAAATAGGCTCAACATCATTTGTCACTAAGGAGTTGTAAATTAAAATGAAAGTAAAATACCACACCACACCTGGCGCTGGTGGTTCACACCTGCAATCCTAGCTACTTGGGAGGCAAAGATTAGAAGGATTGTGGTTCGAAGCCAGTCCTGGGCAAATAGTTCTAGAGACCCTACCTGGAAAATGCCCAACACAGAAAAAGACTGGCAGGGTGGCTCAAGTGGTAGAGACCCTGCCTAGCAAGTGTGGAGGCCCTGAGTTCAAATTCCCATACTGCCAAAAAAAAAAAAAAGATACTATACCACACCTATTATAATGGTTAAAATTTAAAAGACAAAAACAATACCAAATGACAGGGACAGGTAAGAACTAGAACTCCCATACCCTGTTGGTGGGAATTTCAATGGTTATGTCATTTCTGAAGTGTTTGGCAGGCTCCTAAAAAGTTAGACACCTACTGTTTGGCCGGTGGGCAGCCACCCCATGGTGATCAGGGACTCTGCTCACTTTCCACTCCATCCCCTCCTTCCCTTCATGATTACCATGGCAACTCCTGCTGGCAGGCAATGGGTCCTGACCCATATTACCCGAGCTCCTCCCCACCAAACCTCGACCTATCCCGATGCCCCATAATACCTTAAGCTCTTGACTTCCCCCAGGATATAAAAACTGGGCTGCCATTTCTCCGGCCCTGCTCTTTGGGGACGGTGAACCTCGCGGCCCTGCTCTTTGGGGACGGTGAACCTCGCCTGACAGCGCGCTCTCAATAAAGCCTGCTTAAAGCCTGCTTGCTTTATTATTTGGCTTCAATTTGGCCTTCCCATCAGCGTCGACCTAACACCTACTATAACCAGATATTCTATTGCTTGGAATTTACCCATGAGAAAAAAGCCACACAAAGGCTTATATGTATGTGTTCATACTGGTTTTATGTATTAAAAAACTCCAAACTGGAAACTGCAAATGTCTCATCAGCAGGACAGAAACACATGTAGCCTGTCCAGACAGCAGAGTAATACTCACCAATAAAAAAGAAAACAACTATTGATACAATAGGATGGAGGAATCTCAAAATGACTCTTTTGGGCAAAACCAGACAAAGACTGCTGTACAATTAATACCATTTATATAAAAATTTGGAAGATATCATCTAGAGTACCAGCACATCAGTGTTTGCCTGGGGATAGAGGCAGAGGTAGGGAGGAGCAGGGAGAATTACAAAAGGATACAGGGAAATTTGAGGGTGATGGCTATGTACATTGTTGAAATAGCGGGAATATTTTCACAGGAATCTGTATAGTCCAAACTTGTCAAATCATACATATTAAATTGTGCCATTTATTGTATTCTTATATCTCAACACTTTTTAAACTCCAAAGAGAGATGATCTTACTTGCTTACCTTGGGTTTCAGACCCATCCCATGGTTAGGAAAGGATGATTGACAGCTCTATTAAAATCATGTCCTAAGGGGAAGAGGTCGTTCCTCACAGGAAAATTGAGGTGCTGTCCTAGAGAAGCATATCTAATACAATCATTGGCTATAACATTCAAATATACTTCAGGATGTTGATCGCTACACATTTTAAAACATTTTTGTGTGTCTTGGCAGGTCTTCTACAACTTGAGCCACACCTCCAGCATTTTTAAAACTTTTAGAGTACAGAAATGGACATTTATTTGGTGAGTTTTTTGCCTGGGGACAGAATTGACAACTGAGTTGGAAGTGAATTTACCTCAATCCACAAGTCA